TATTCGTTGCATGATTCGTTGCAGGTAAGGGCGTAGCCAGAGTCTTGTCAAGGGTGAACACAGGGTTGAGAAAAGCCCATCTTATGGCGATCCCCCCCAAAAAATCCCCGGATATGGCATACTTGTTAAAGGACACAGTTTTCTTCGCTTTATTGTTATTTGTACCGTGTAACTCGAACAGAAATGAGGAGCTATCGTGACTTCAATTCTGTTTGTATTTTGAGGTCATAAACTGCAGAAGTCAGGCGTTGAACCACTGCATTGAATAAATTACCGGCACTCTTAATTTACAATTAGTTGATTTTCTAACCCGATAGAATTCAGAAGCTTTGTCAGAATTTTTTATCTGGGCTCTAAAGCCATTGAGGACGTCGCGAAGGTAGATTGTAGATCGATACGTTTGATCCAAATTTGAAGATGACAATTTGATTGCAGATCGAGTGGTCAACAACGTGTATTAACATGGCCAAGCCATGTTTGTCTGAAAATGTTCACCACTCACTCAGAATCGATTAGTGATACGATTTATGTAACATGTTTTTTAACATGCGCGCTCGCAAATCTTAGAAACAAAAACCTCGACACCAGGCGTTGCAGTCTCCATTGTCCGCGGAGCGTTAGCCCAGTAGCCCAGTAATAGTACTGGTAGAAGAAGTAGTAGTAATTATCAGCCGTAGCCCACCGGCGGACGAATGTGATGGCGCTTTTGAAGTTATTACCTTTAAACACTCTAATAGACTAGTAACAAGAGTTATGCAACGTAATTTTGAGCACGTGCACTCGAAAACCTTAGAAACACAAGCCACGCGTTGCAGTCCCCGTGGGCCGCGCAGCGTCGGTCTAGCGGCTAATACTACTACGTTGTGGCCAACGAGTGGACGAAAATGACGACGCTTCTGAAAAAACGATCCTTGAACGCTTCATGGCATAAGATCTTTTATTAAAAAGGCAGTCTGAGCGCACATTTCACGTGTGTAATCTTTAGACTGATGAAAAGAACGAATTGGCCCTTAAAACATTGCTAAGAGGGGCTGGAAGTCTGGTGGTTGAACGGGAAGAGTGAAGGTAGGATCTTTATTTTCATGTTTCTGCAAGTATTTATCTATCCAGAAGACAGATTAACATGGTGCCCGCCGTCTGGGGTGCTTGTAGTGGCCGAATCTTTTCGGTTTCACGGAAGCTGCAACCCAGACAATCCTTGTCTTTGCCCTCGAGGTTGCGGGTGGGCATGTTCAAGCCTTTTGATGTAATTTGCTTGACTAATACGTTCCGAAAAATGAACGTTGTCAGGCAAACATGGCAAGACCTTGCTCGTTTTTTAAGCTCATTTCGACCCGCCTCATTTAACAATGAGACCCACTCTACTTAACAATAATGAGACACCCTTTTCCCTTCCGGGCAAGGGGCCTCTCGAGTATAACACCAGGAGGACATTACCGTTTCCGGTCAAGGGCTGCAGAGCCATTCCGTCCCATCGCAAAGTGTCCTCCTGGCTATCATTCTGGCGATGCGGGTTGGGACCTCCGTGGTTGATCTGGAGGCCATTAGAAGGATATATCATGTCACATTGTTTCCATCCCTGACACGGGAGGCCTTCTGACCCGCGCATTTAGCTACGGGTCAGCACAGGAACCCTCACTGACGCAACAACATCCCTGATCACTGCATGTAGTTCAATACTTGTCATATGGGCTCCATTTCCGCGTTTTTCTGGTTTTTTTCAGAGATATTGAGCTCTCCCTGACCGTAGGTTGTAGATGAAATGGGGTAGCTAATTTGTATTAACATGGTTAACTCATGTCCGTCTTAAAATGCTCAAAATTTTGTCATAACTGATTACTGATAAGAAAATTGCTTTTGGACACGCGCGCTCGCAAGTCGTAGCAACAACAGCCTCGACGACCGACGTTGCAGTCTCCGGGACGTGCGGCGTTGGCCTTGCGGCTGTAACACTAAGCGATGGTCAGTGAGCTAACGAAAAAGATGACGCATCTTAGAGGGGGGGATGTCTGGTGAACTAGGTAAATCGGTATACATGTTTAATGTAGTGCAAAAGTAAGCCAAATGCAACCTTATCTGAAAAGTAGCGGGGGGAGTTAGCATTGCTGCCCCACCTTAAAAAGTGAGTGGCCACGAACCACTGGCCTCCCTGTTCCTACACCCATGCCTTCAATATACCAAAAGTAAATGCACAAAATAGAGCAGAATACATAGTATATAGTGTATGGTTCTGTGGGCACAGAATGTACACAAAATGTCTTGTAATCTCTTTCCAGTGACATTGTATGCAAGAAAAAACAATACATGGCACTCAGGCTTGTTTAATGAAAACCTGGGGTTACATGTTTACCGAGAGCGCACGCTCACAAGTAGGGGAGGAAGTAGTTGACATAAATGCACAATGACACACATCATGACACACCTAAACTTCTATGTGCACATTTCATCAACGGCACAACATAACGCGGACCAAGGATATACGAATCGCTGTGTATCGGTAAAGTTTGACAGAGGTTAGACTCGCAAGCACCATTGTGAAATATGGATCGTTATCGCTGTTGTTCAGGTAAGGTACGTCCAGCAATACTTGTCTGCTGATTGATTTGAACACTGATGTCGTGTAGCGAATTGCCTTCTGATATGTGATGCAGTTCATGGAAACCTTTCGGCCTAGCCATCGATGGTTCATGCAAGCCTTATCATAATGCCGTGTGCCTAACATTAGGATATGGAAGCTTGCATGCTTGATTATTTTAGTATCTTTAATTGTCATGATCTGCACAGATTTGCAACAGTTGCAATCACTCACAGGCCTTTGAGTTCCGCGTTTTGTGTTAACTTATTCACAGGTGACCATGTGTACTATCAGAAAATGTCGAATCATCATAATATTTTGGAAATATTGGCGTAGAAACGTGGCGTAACCAAAGGTCTCCCGGTGTGCTGATGTACCTGTGTTTTTGCATAGTTTTCATAATGGCAAAAAAAAAATGGTGCGTGCACACGTATGTGTGTTACAGTACTGTTGTAAACATTAACGCTTGCCATACATGTCAGCAATGCCTTTTTCTTTCAACGAGTGATGGGTTTCTGGGTTTACCCTCATGCCATGAACGCAGCCAGTGCCACTGAATTCCCTTGTAGGGCGAGCATATCTAAAAAACGAAATTGTCCCCAGATTTCACCCACTTTACAAACTAACTTCCCAGATATATGAAATTAAGCTAAGCCACCTCTCAGTCTGGCGAGATCTCATGACCTGTTAATCAGTGTCCTCCTCTTGAACTGGTGGAACTTTTAGTAGCAGAACGCCACCGTAGCTCAATCAGTGCGTGCTGCCCAGCCCACAAGCGACGGTGTGGATAGGTTTGAGTCCCCCGTTACTCGCGCCCTGCGCTCCACGTTCGTTATTTGCCCATTTCTTTTTAGGGTCTCATCTGGAGGAGAAGAAGGTTCTTTCGAAGTCTCCTGAGCGTAGGCAATCCGAACGCGAGTACTACACGCATAGATCTTCCTCCGGGCATTAAGCCTTCCGAATATAGTTTTTCTGACCCTCATCTTTCCCGGTTCGGGAGACAAGCTCACCGTCGCTGCTTCATCAGCGGCAAGCTGTATGAGTTACCGGCTCGGGGGAGTGCATGGACAGCCGAAGAAGACAACAGTAGGACATGTTTTGACACCTTGAATGTATTTTTATGCGTTTGCTCGCCCTCCACCCCCCAGGGTTCATAGTTCACGACTTCACCAGTGTCACGTTTACAGCACTGAAACTAGACTTCAACATATACTAACATTCACGCACTCCACTAGTCTGGACTTTTCTTGTCGACATTGATTTACATGAAAATTAGTGCATGGTACAGTTCAATGAGGACTCACTGTCACAGGCCTTGGTGCCCGCTTCAAAAGGACCAGGCCTGGGAGTCCCTCTCCCCCCCCCCCCCGTCTCTGAAAGGAGACCCCATGTTGTTCAGGAAGCCCCCTGGAAAAGCCTTTCCTCAACTTATATTTCCTAACGACGCCCCTGCCAGACCCAATAACTTGTGGGGAATCCACACCAACGAAAAGTCTCCACCAATCTTTCAATCTATCAGGTAATTGTTCTAAATGTTATCACGTGCGGTGTTTTCAGCACAAGTGGCTATTCATTGAACCATATCCTATGATTTGTAATTGTAGCGTGCTTTGTAATATGTTGCACCTTCGACCTAGAACCCAGTGATAAGTAGATCAGAAACAGGCTATTAACCCGATAGGAAGCATGAATTATTCATACATATACTTTCACCTTTCTTGCAAGGTTACTCCGTTGGACACTGTAGGCTAATTGTGGTGAAAACATGACAGCGATCACTTAGAATAAACAACAGTTGCATCAAGACGTTCTAGTTGCATATAGTTATGACCAAACAGCGAACACGCCCCTGGTCAGACACAGAACAAGTTCCACGCCGGCGACGCTTTAACGGCAGCTCTGCGCACGTCCAACGCCCCACTCCACGGTACTCGTCCCGTATTCAACGATCACTTGCAAGTCGATCGCGGCCTCGAAAACCTGCAGCATCCGACACCAAGTTTATCCCGGCGTGGGAAATGAATCCGTTGCTATGCGACCCAACGACCGCGTGCTTGTAATGTTCGCACTGGCGTCGACTGTATGCGCGCAGCCGACGCTGGGCGGGGCAACGCTGCCTACCAATAAGGGCGATTATTCACACCGTGGCGGCCGCTCCAAGAACTATCTTCGAAGCTCTGGTCCGTGGACATTTTGTACCTTGGACAATTACGTACATTGGACATTCTATACTTTGGTCATTCTGTACCTCGGACATTCTGTACATTAGGCATTATCATACGGGCCCCTACCACTCTGCGCCATTTTGGAAGTTATTTTTCGTCTTGGACATCATGTACCTTGGACATTGTGAACTTTGAACATTTATTTTGACATTGACATTTGACATTTGACATCATATTGAACATTTGTGAACATTCTGTACCTTGGACATTGTGCTTTGGACATTCTGTACCCCTGGACATTCTGTACCTTGGACAACATGAACGCCTACCTGCTGAAGTACACCCTGAGCTTGGCCGCCCCATTTTCTGAAACGTTCCTACGCCTATGATGGGATGGCCTTCTTTGTTTAACAAATTCATTTCGACCTACTCTATTCGCCGATAATAAACCTCCACTCCACTCAACATTAATGGGGCCCCTTATTTCCTTCCGGGCAAGGGGCCCCTCGAGTAGAACACCAAGGGCACATTACCGGTTTCGGTCAAGAGCTGAAGGTTCACTCTTTCCCATCGCGAGGCGTCTTCTGGCTGTCATTCTAGTGACACGGGGCGGGATCTCCTGGTCGATCCGGCGGCCATTGGAAGTATATATCATATCGCATTGCTCCCCTCTCTCATACGGGAGGCCTTCTGACCCACGCAGTTGGCCCCGGATCAGCACAGGAACCCTCATTGACGTAAGAACATCCCTGGTCGCCAAAGGTGGTCCACTAATTACCACGCAGGCTCCAGTTCCGTGTTTTTCTGCTTTCTTCAGAGGTATTGACGGCTCCCTGAACGTAGATTGTAAATGAAATGGGTCCTAAGCTTGCATTAACATGGGTAGTCTATGTTTGCCCTAAAATGTTCAAGGTGTAGTCAGAATTGATTACTGATGAAAAAACTATGCAATATGGCTTTGAATATATGCGCTCGCGTCATAGCAACAACAGCCTGAACGCCCGGGCGTTGCAGTCTCCATAAGCCGCGTGGCGTCGGCCTGCGGCTGTGACACAAGCGACGGTCAATAAGCAAATGAAAAAGATGACGCATCTTGAGGAAGATGTCTGGTGAATTAGGTAAATCGGCATGCATATTTAAATGTGGTGCAAAAGTAAGATAAACACAGCCCTAACCTGCAGTGTGTGTGTGGGAGGGGGGGCAGTTAACACTGCTGGCCCCCCCCCACACTGAAAAGTGGGGGGCATGCCCACCTGACCCCCCCCCCCCTCCCCGCTGTTCCCACGCCCATGGCCCCGAGTGATATCTAGCTTGCCCCTCGCTAAGAAGCCGAAAAATAACCGATCCATGGAGGTAGATACTTCCCAAGCGCCCGGCAGGGCTGACAAGATTTGCATTTAACGGAAGTTTCCGCAGACCCTCATCTTATTTCCACCCCAATTTGCATGGACAGTTGCACATTGACACAGTTGCCAAATGCGCACATGTCTGATATGGCATCAAGCACGCGACAATGTTTGGATCTGTATTTGATGCGTTAGTTACGGCGATGCACAATGCCCGACCGCGTCTTTCAGCCTTAACGAACGTGAACCCGATTTCGTTTAGAGGCACGAGTTCTAGTCATTTATTCAAACGTTCACACTCACAGTGGACAGTACGTGTGTCTGTGCTCTTGGGCGCACTACTGCGTTAGGGCTCAACCTGGAGGCATCACTGCAGTACGGCGGTACCTAGTTTCGAGGCAGGTGCCGACGATGCGCGCACTTCGCGCCGACACGTACCCAGAGCGTCACACCAGCCAGCGAGCGGCCAACAGCTGAGATCGGAGAGCGAGAGAGAGGGGGAGAGAGTGGGAAAGGAAAGAAACACGAGGCGTGATGAAGCACACGCCGCAACCCAGCCCGGAGCGTGCACACACCGAGACGGCACACAGGAGCACATGTTCGCACCCGGCAGCGGTGGCGACCGGGCCAACTACACGCCAGATCACACAGGCCACTCGTCCAAACAAGCTTGCTGCGGCCGTCGTCACCCCCGGCGGCGCCCGCCGGTCGCCAGATCACACACGGGCCTGCGCCCGGCCCCACAAGTCACGCCGGGGTCCGACATCCGGCCCGCCGAGTCACACACGGATCTGACATCCGGCCCCACGTGTCACACCGGGGTCCGACATCCGGCCCGCCGAGTCACACGCGGGTCTGACATCCGGCCCCACGAGTCACACCGGGACCCGACATCCGGCTCGCGGGGTCACACAGGGGTCCGACATCCGGCCCGCCGAGTCACACAGGGGTCCGACATCCGGCCCGCAGTCACACAGGGAGCAAACACACACTGTCTGTCTGGCGTCGCAAGAGAACGGAAAGACCACTTGCCAGGCTAAAGAGGGGCCCCGCGGGCCGCCCGCAAGGCTACATCAGCCAGGCCCCGAGACACCGCTAACGTCTCACAGGGGAGCAAACAGATCGTTCCAGATCACACTGGGGGCCCAACAGGCCGCCTGCCGGATCAGGCCGAGGCCCGACAAGCCGCTGCTGCCGGGTCCCGCGGGGACCTCACTCCTCCTGCTCGTCGTCGTCGTGTTCGTCGTCGGCGATGGAGCGGGCGGTGCCGGTCGGCTCGGTCGGCTCCCGCTTGAGGGCGGCGGCCGGGCTGGCGCCCCCCGAAGCCAGACTGAGCAGCGCGCTGGCGCCGTCCTGCTCCTCGGCGGCGGCCGCCAGGTCCAGCAGGGAGCTGCCCGCCGACTCGGTCGGGCCCCGGGGCGCCTGGCGGGCATGCACGGCAAGCTATCACCGATGCCGCTGCCGTTCTTGCCGTGCAACGGGGTTACAAACGCACACATTGGACATAATGCTGCGCAGCCAACGCACCTTGCGCACCTAGTTCTGGTACCCTATACTTAACAAAAGCGAACAAACATCACGTACATCATACGCACATGCGACACATCTATGCACATCACGCACGCGATTGGCGTCAGCAATTGCGAACCATAGCGGTAGCCGTACGCCGATGATGTAGTTCCGCGTGTTTGGTCAGGTGCCCCGCCCGGCTGGCGCCCCGCCGCGGCGTACCTGGCTGTTCTGGCAGCGCGGACACATGTACACCATGTCCTCGGTGACCTGGTAGTTCTTGGGCAGGCCCACGCAGATGTAGTGGTACCACTGCTCGCAGGCGTCGCAGCCGATCCAGTTGATGCACGAGCCTGCCGACGGGCGGACCGTCGGCGGCGCGTCACTCCCCGGCCAGCTGCCGCGCGCCGGCGCCCGAGACGGCCGCGCGTGGCAGGGCGCGTGGCGTTCACAGGACGGCGGCAGCCGCGGCGTCGGCGTGGCGCCGCATCACGCGCAGCCCAGACGGCGTCGGCCAGCTGGCGCGCATCACGCGCAGCGCCCAGACCACAGCGGCGTCGGCCAGCTGGCGCCGCATCACGCGCAGCGCCCAGACCCACAGCGGCGTCGGCCAGCTGGCGCCGCATCACGCAGCGCCCAGACCCACAGCGGCGTCGGCCAGCTGGCGCCGCATCACGCATAGCGCCCAGACCCACAGCGGCGCGGCCAGCTGGCGCCGCATCACGAGCAGCGCCCAGACCCACAGCGGCGTCGGCCAGCTGGCGCCGCATCACGCATAGCGCCCAGACCCACAGCGGCGTCAGCCAGCTGGCGCCGCATCACGCATAGCGCCCATACCTACAGCGGTGACGGCCAGCTGGCGCCACCATCACGCATAGCGCCCAGACCACAGCGGCGACGGCCAGCTGGCGCCACATCACGCATAGCGCCCAGACCCACAACGGGGACGGCCGGTGGAGCCGACGGCCATCGCAGTGGACGCGCATGATTACAACACCCATCCCGTTAGTCGACCACACATTCAGGCTCCTGCCACCACGCGAGGCGGTGGCCAACGCCATCTATCGTGCGAGTGTGCGAGCGAGACGCCCCGCTGGGGTGCGCCGGACGGTGCGCGTGGGGACGCCGCCGCCGCCGGCCCGGCAGTCCGCTTACCGTGCGGCTTTCTGGCAGGGCGTGGCCGCACAGTCCCTCCACGTAGTTGCTGATGGGCCCCGACTCGCCGTCCTCCGAGCTGCGAGCGCCGCCCTGGGGTGGCGCTGGTTCTTTATCCACACACTGGAGCAGGCAGCGACGAGACCCATCTAACACACTGGGTCCACCGCAAAACACACTCGGGCACGCGACAAGTCGCGACGTCGCCTTCAGCATCCTTCTCTCTTCCAGACCTGCCCCTTTTGCACCACAGTATTTTCGGCAGTCTTTTCTTTGGTATGGACCATGTGGAAGGCTGTTGCTACTATCACATACCAACGCTGCAGCGTAGCACTCTTGGCGTAACATGACATCTCGCTGAGCGCAGGCCACGCACCAAAGTAACAATATTTTCACACCCCGGCATTTCGTGGTGCTGTAAAGCTGCTTTTATGATCACATTTCGTCGCTCAAGCAAGACTATAACTTGAGGAGCACTTTGGTAGACCCGATCTTTTTCAGTGCAACTTGGCCGCATTCAGGCCGCATTAACGAACGGCGTAGGATCTGTCGGTTACCCGAAAAGTTGCCGGTTCTTACTGAAACCAGTGAGAGGCAAGCTAATGCCCACAGCAGTTGTTAAAAACACGAACAACTAAATGAGAACGGTCATTTTAATTTAACATCAGTCACGACGCTGCGTCACTCATTTGGAATCGAAGTGGGTCACTGACCACCTCACGTTGGCCAATCCGCCCTACCCCCGTACCATTTTCTTGGTCTTGGTTAATTTGCGTTTGAAGCCTGCTGCAGCCGCCTTCGGTGTGCGTTTGCTGGGACTGGGCGACGTCTGCTCCGGCCCCGGGCTGGGCGTGGTCGGGTCAGCAGAGTCCTCGGGCGGCTTCACCTTGACCTTGAGCCGTTTGGGCGGCTGCAGACCGCGCGGCGAGTCCGGCGAGCGCTTCTTACGTCCGGCGCCGGCCGACTTACGGCGCGCGCCGCCTTCCTCCATCTGAGGGCGGAGGGGACGGGTCAGTACAGGGTGCCGACGGACTCACGGTGCGCGCCGCCTTCCTCCATCTGAGGGCGGAGGGGACGGGTAAGTACAGGGCGCCGACGGACTCACGGTGCAGGCCGCCCTCCTCCATCTGAGGGCGGAGGGGACGGGTCAGTACAGGGTGCCGACGGACTCACGGTGCACGCCGCCTTCCTCCATCTGAGGGCGGAGGGGACGGGTCAGTACAGGGTGCCGACGGACTCACGGTGCACGCCGCCTTCCTCGATCTGGGGGCGGAGTGGGGGGGGGGGGGGGGGATAAACGGTACCGGCCGGCTTACGGCGCACCATCCTCTCCCCAAGGAGAAGCGAGGCTGGCGAGCCATGCCAATCAACACGTCATCTCCGCTCCAGTGCAGTCCAGGCCGACTGCTGGCGGGGCGCCGTGTTAGGCGCAGGTCATACGGAACACAGCAGGGTGCTAGCACACAGCGCCACACGGCCACCAGATGACAGTATAGTACCAGCAGCAGCCCGGGTGAAACATAAGATGAAAATGACACGCGGCAGTGGCAGCTCACGCCATGCAGCCCGGCTATAGGTCGGCTGGTTGTTTGCCGTCCGCTGTTGTCCGAGCTGCGTCAGCCAGCTGACGCGCCGCTCCGCCTGGCGCGCGGGGCTGCACTCCGTCGCACCTTGACGATGTCGATGTCGGGGAAGTTGAGGTCGGCGGCGGCGGGTCGGGCGGCCAGTAGCAGGCGCCACAACTGCTCTGTCTCCTCCAGGCTGACCTCCAGCAGGTCTCCTTCCATCAGCACCGTCTCCAGCAGCGCCACGGACTCGGGCGGCAGTGGGCGGGCCGGAGCCGGCGGCGGGGGCGGCGGCGGCGGTGGCGGCGAGTCAGCCCGCCGTGGCGACAGCACAGCCTTGCGCGGTTTCCGCGTCGGCGGCGGCGGCGTCTGCTTGAAGGCTGCCAGAGGACGGCACGTGAGGCGAACGTGGGGATAAGTAGCTAACCATATGGATGACGTGTAGTACGCCGTGTAGGCGCCTACCACGAGGTACGAATATCTACGAGAACAGCCGAACCACCAGGGCCCTGTTTACGCAGCCACCTCAGCGCCAAAGCAACACTTAGCAGCACGAATGCTGATACTGTTAGCCCGTACAGCTACAACAGCCGACAAGCCCAGCAGAGGTAAGCGCGGCTGAAGAAACCTGGCCCGGATCAGTTCGCAAAGGGTAGAGCTGATGGGCTGTCACAAGTTCATGTGCAGGGTGCGCGGGCCGGTGTAAATACAACTTAATGACGCCCGATCGTTAATGGAGGAGGCGGCCGCACCCAGCATCATCCTGCACCACCAACAGCAGCTAGACAACGAGACCGATATATAACGTTACAGTGCAGCTGCGGGCATTCATAAGCAGGCGTTCTTATGTTTTTCTTGCATCTTTGTAAAGATCAGAAGTTACCTAGGCACAAGTGGTAGCATATTTCGAAATTTTCTAAAACGTGAAGCCAACCAAAATACAACCTAGGAAATGAGGTGTATATTTGCCAGCCCGTGAGCGAAGCAAGGAAAATAACATCGTTTCATGAAGTTAGGAACCATATAAAAAAGGAGAAACATTGTTTAACCCGCAATCCATGCTTAAAGTTCGCTAACTGAATGCAAAACTCGTCCGAAAAATATGAAAGAACCGAACCAGTTAACTATCCATACGTCATCATCAAATCTGTATTATGAATAAAGTTGCAAAAGAACTTTGATCAATTCGTGCATGGTCTAACATGATGCGCAATCACTTCCATCTTAAATTGTACATACACGTGCATTATGTGCTATTGAACAACTAGAGGGACGGATCAGACGGGGAGAATGGGCCAGGTCAAATCGAATGGCCCGGTGAGAACAGGAAATGAGAACTCCTCCCTACAAGCTCTGGACTTGACGCAGCACCACCGTTCCCCAATAAGTGCTCAAGCATTGTTACCGACGAAAGAAAGACGGATAATTCGTGTTTATGGAGCATTTCGAACGTCAATCAATCATCACAGACCAGACCGGACTACACCGCGTATCAGCGGTATGATCCTTGGTGGCAGACATATCGTTTAGCACCTGGTCCAGACGATAGGCAAATCAAAGTCATCAGCTGGCAGGATCACCCACGACCTGGTGATGTGATTGTCAATTACCAGAGTAAGGTCCGGTTCAGATTGTTTCCAGCCGTAAAGTAGAGCTAACATTGCCCATCAGAGATAAAGCGACTCGCCCCCTCCTGCACCTCTGCCACCTCAAACGGCTGGATCGGGCGTCTCAAAAGCCTGTCCATGTTGATGGCATCACGGGAGCGCCGCTCTGGTGTGCTAGCGGCCGCCTAGCCCCGGCCAGGGGTAGTCCGTTCTGTATTGTTTTATGCGTGCCCAGACTCACCTCTTGACGGCGTCTGGGTTGAAAAATATATGCAGCCATGTTGTTCGACCACTCTGAGAACCAGTCCCCAATGAGCAGGCCAACTGCACCTTCCCAAAAACCCACCTGAGGTCATTCGTTGACCTTTGACATTGAATTTGGACGACCACACCTCTGGGTTGATGGCCCATAGCGTTCAACTACAGCATCAACCGCTACAGCCCACCAGGCTGCAAATCCGCGCGAATGTCTGTGCCGCCAGCGCGGCCTGCAGCCTGTCGTCGGTACTGAGGCAGCCGCCGCGGCCGAGCGCAGCCGGACAGGGCCTGTCGTCGGTACTGAGGCAGCCGCCGCGGCCGAGCGCAGCCGGACAGGGCCTGTCGTCGGTACTGAGGCAGCCGCCGCGGCCGAGCGCAGCCGGACAGGGCCTGTCGTCGGTACTGAGACAGCCGCAGCGGCCGAGCGCAGCCGGACAGGGCTTGCCGCCGGTAATGAGGCAGCCGCCGCGGCCGAGCGCGGCCGGACAGGGCCTGAGGCCAGCAATGAGGCAGCCGCCGCGGCCGAGCGCAGCCGGACAGGGCCTGAGGCCAGCAATGAGGCAGCCGCCGCGGCCGAGCGCAGCCGGACAGGGCGAGCGGGCGCGCGGCGTCCCCACCTGACGAGTAGGCGTGCTCGGAGCTGGAGAAGCCGGCCGGCGGCGCCGCCGGCTGCTCGGAGCTCTCACGCTTGATGTGCACCGACGAGGCGTCCCGGCTGCTGTCCGACGACTCGGCGTCAGCGCCCAGCGACGACTGCCGGCACGGGCGGCGGTCGGTCGGCCGCAGGCCGAGTACAGCACGGATGCAGAGACCGAACGCCGTGCGTACGAATACCCAGCTGATCGCGAGCCCAGATGGCGTGAGGCGGTGAACGGCGCAATAGTGCCGCGTCACGTAACAAGGAGAAATGCGCGCCGCGAGTTTTGCGTACACCTCAGCTGAATTAAATTTGCTCTGATAGCTTTTAACTACATATCTGTACTCAAAATTCGTGGATGACCCGACATAGACCCCCAAAACTGCGTACGCAAGACTGTCTCCTAGCAAGAAAAATCCACTGCCGACCAGCTCTGACATCATCTGACCTATTTTAAGATGATGCGAGCCCTAATTGCCTACACCGTGTCAAACTTTTAATGAATGAACTAAAACGCTCAGATTGCCCGGAGCATTGGCTTCTTAGGCACGACGAAAACATGAGCGGAAAGGAAAACCCGTGAGTTTCCAGCAAAACGCGGATAAAGAGGAACAAACCGAGCCGCGGGCCGGCCCCCGCACACGCTAGCGAGGAGAACATTGCTACAAATCCGACGTGGGGTTCAGACTACATCCCGCGAGCGTGGCCTGACCTCGCTGTTTCTCTGGTCGGCCTTCGCGGCCTGCCGTCCGGCCGTCTTCTCGGCCCGCTCCTTGGCGCTGGTCTCGGCGCGCTGAGAGACGGCCGCCAGGCTACTCAGGCTGGCGGCCATCTCCTCCGAGGAGAGCACCTGGCGCGCCCGGTCCTGCCGGATACCACAGACGGGGTCAGGCTGACAGATACAGCCCTGCGCCACACCACAGCTGAGGTCAGGCTGACGGACCCGATTCTAACGTAACAATCAGTCAGAGGTCAGATTGGAAAGGGTGAGGAATCTGCTGGCAAGTCACCTGGGGTTATCAACGTCCGGCACTGACGTCAAGCGTTCGCTTCGGCCTCGAATAACATCGATTTTTTATAGCAATGCCACCAGGCACATAAAAGCCACAAGGTAACAACTGACGCCAACATCGCCAGTAGCTGGCGGTGTCGTGACGCCGCTAGCTGGCGCGGCTGGACAGGCGCGCCCGCTGGCGGCCAGCTCACCTGCCAGCGCATGGCACGCTCCGTCAGACACTGCAGCGCCACGCCCTCGGCCAGCCGGACGGCCAGCTTCTGGTGCGACACCAGCAGGCTCAGCACCGTGTCCAGCCGTGGGCGGCGGGAGCGCTGACACAGCGGGCACAGGAAGTGGGCGTCGGCCGGCGGCGGCGTCGGCGGCGGTGGCGGCGGCGGCGTGCCGTCCGAGCCGCCGCCCGACCGGCCCTTGCCCGAACCCCTCTGTGCCAGCGGCACGCACGACGCTGCCGGCACGTGACGACAGCGTTTGACCAGGCACGCACGCACGCGCACGCACACATACATGTATATTAACGATTTCGCACTGACGTGGACATCATGAACGGTGGAACGATGAAATGAAAATGTTGCGGCAGATCAGCCTCACATATTATATGCACCAGCCTATAATACCAGTCCGTCTATGTAGGGCACCAACCATCAAATTACTTAGTACCGGTTCAAAGCAGCATACGCTACACTTTTCCAGATAGTCGCGAGCCAGGAGCAGGTTAGTATATCTTGTAGCACGCCACAATCGTATTACCCGATCCGTTCGCTAGCAAGGTGGTTGCTTCTTGTTGTTGTTTATTGGAGTTACCGGGCGTGCCGACTGCGGTGGTCATTTGGCGCCCATAAAGCACTTACTTCTGCGTTACCAGAGGGTAACGAGGATGTAAGCGCTTTGGCCGGTCAGGGAAGCCCCGCTCCAGTTGGCAGTTGTTGGCGGTGACGGCCGCTGGTCCTCGGCCGAGACACAGCCGGCGGTGGCAGCCGCTGATCCCCAGCCGGGACAAAGCCGGCGGCCCTCGGCGGTGCTCACCGTGGAAGTAGTCCCGGCAGAGTTCGCACTGCAGCATGTAGCCGCGCAGCCGCTGCCGGCAGAGGCAGTACTTGCCCTGCTGGGCCTCAGTCTGCCGCTTCTGCAGGTTGCCGGCGCGCAGACCGCGCACCAGCTCCAGCTCGCGATCCTCGGCAGCCTGGCGGCCACAGCGACGCGTCCGTCAGAAGAGGGCGTTCACCGCCACCTCAACACCATCCGTTTCAACCGAGTGGCGGCCCGGCCACGACCGAGTCCTGGTACCTCACCACTGGCACTGGTACCTCACCACCATCACGTGCGGCGTCATCGGAAGTTGAAGTTGGGTCGTCAACCAAAACCACGTAAGCACTCATCAGTACAGCACTGACGCGTGGACACCCGACAGAGCGGCACAATGGCGGGAGGGGCCGCGACGAGTGACGCCCAAAACATGACATTGTAATGAATGCAATCGTAACGTCACAACAAAACGCAACGAGACCGGTCGCAACACGATTCACAATATACCACAATCATAGCATTGTTTTCCAACCAAACGCCGCACAAATCTTCCTCAAAGACGCCAGGACGGCGACCCCCTACGGGAGAGCAGGGCAGGAGAGCCTGACCCGCGCTCACGCCGGTCCCATCGAGCGGCGCCGTCTGTCAGCCAGCACTCTCACCCGGTAGGCGTCCACCACCTGGGCCACCGTGCTGCCGTCCGTCTCCAGATCACTGGAGAGCAGGTGCTCCTCCTTGGGGCGCCGCCGCTTGCCGCGTGACTGGTGTACGCTCACGTCCGCGCGGGGCGACAGTACCTGGCGGCGCACCGGGGTATTGGGCACAAACGAACCGAAACCAGTGCCAGCAGTGGCACCACCGTACAGCGAAGCAAGCGCCCAGGCAGCAGTAGAAAACCAACACTCGTCGGACATAGATGGGCAACTCACATTGACCAAACAGCGGCCAGCACAAAATTAAGCGTTTGGTTCAACTGTTTCCGGCGCTCGCATCTTGAAACCGCCCAGCGATCAGGACAGGTCTTCCTTATTTGCCTCGTAGACTGGTGATGCATTCAAGCTCCGAGAGTTATAATGAGCACAGGCTTCCCAAGATCATGACATTTCTAAGAGCACATCGTTGCACAGATGCCAAACTGTACAGAAGACGTTAAGTGCCATAGCACTGCCTCGCGCATGCTTTCAAAACAAAATATCGTAATATTGTACGGCTAAATATACCACCCATCCTTAGACGATCATGTCCCTAGATATCTGACACCACAGCCGACCAATCGGTTTGGCGCAGGAAGCGAGTGCCCTCTGTCTCGAAGCGAGCCTGGAGGGCACCGACCCCGATCTGGGCTTACCTCCAGCAGGGTGAAGGAGTTTCGCTTGAGGAAGGTGCGGCTGGTGCGCTCCCGCCAGGCTCTGGCGCTGTTGGCCATGTTCTCCAGGCGGCTGAGGTCAGGCAGCAGGACCGGCAGCGGCTGCCCGCGCGCCACCAGCGCCTCCACCACCTAAATCAGCAGGCCACCGTCAGACGGCCAGGCCAGCCTGCAGCCGGATTCACTGCTCGGTGATCTCTCATACAACAATGTGACATATGCTCCCAGGGGGGGGGGGGGGGGGGCTAAGAGAGCAGCACATGCTACAGGACTTGAGTGGACACCCACCTGATACAGCTTGACCATTTGAGTGCAAAGCGTGGGCATGTGTACCCACCCCTACAGCCGTGATTCCCTTCGCCGGGCCGACGCTGAGTACAAACAGCAGATGGCGCCCATCTCACGCGCCGGCGTTCGACGCTGCCCGCGCGGCGTGTCGGGTGGTGTCGCGCGCCGCCGCATGGGACGGCCCGCTGCGCTGCCGGCCGATTCACCTCCAGCCGAGGGTGCTCCTTCTTCTCGGTGAGCGCCACCACGCGCTCCAGCCAGTCCTGCGCCTTCTGCACCACCTCCTGCAGGCTCTCGACGTTGGGCAGCGAGGCGGGCACCTTCTCGGCGTCGCGCAGCAGCGCCTCCACCTCGGTCAGACTCTGCACCGGCCTGAGGAATCGCCGCGGAGTCGCCGTCAGCGCGCCGGACGGCCGGGACGGCGTGCGAGGCGGGCGGCCCGCGGGCCAGCTCGGCTGGCGGTCTTACCGATCGACAATCGTCCTTACCGGCGTCACATCGTCAGCACGAACTGAACGGTCCTAGCACTACTACACGCCGGCAGCGGACTCCCAGCCGCCACGCTTCAAGGCCAAGTAATGACACACTCGAAGTCCCGCCGCCATCCAGACAGCCGGCACGCGCCGCGCTCGCGTGCCGCCGCCGGCGCGGGTGGCGCGGCGGACCGTCCCTGACCGTGCGGTGAGCGCCAGCCGGGCGCGCTCCTCGTGCTGCTGGCCGGACAGCAGCAGGCCCTGCAGCTCGCCCATGGCGCGCTCCACCACGTGGTAGGGCGGCAGTGTCCTGCCGGTCTCCACCAGCTGGGCGATGCCGTCCAGAGTCAGCCGGCGCCGGCCGTCCAGGCCCTCCTCCACGGCCTCCATCCACTGGGCGTGGCTCAGCCGCTGGGGGCGCGCCGACCGTCAGCACTCACCAACATTTGCGGCCGGGTCGTACATTACAGTGTGCATTACAAGCCCGCAGAGATTTTCTCTCGCCAAATATCAAAGGGATCGTGCCATATTTCTGTGAGGTTTAAACAGAACTAGACGTCCTGAAGATCATTCGGTGTAGCTCACAGTCCTGCCCCTCCTAAGACTTCAAACCCGCCCGTTAATGAGCTACACGCCCACAAAGACGTGCAGGCTATTTCGTGCCGACCATTTCATGGCCATTCAGGCCCGCATGGCGCTATAGCAACGATATTCAAATTCTGCCACCCACAATGAAGAACTTGAAGGACGTCGGCCATGCGACGTTGCAAGTCAGTGACACTATCATCATCGACCCGATGAGATCTGACATCCGTGAGCACGATTTCTAAGTAAAGCGGATGTCAAATGACTCTCAATCAATCTTGAGCGAACTGTGCAAGCTTCAATCGTGAGTAACGGTTTGCGCTGCACAATTTAAGAAGTTGAACATGGTTTATTTACTTGCTAGCCATTACGAGAATAGGACTTCTTATCGAATAATTTAGGAATAACGCTATGACCGCGCCTGTTAATACAACTTAACATCTTAAAGTTACGAATAAATATGAAAGAATGCTACGAGAACGGGTCAAAACACGAGCACCTAACGGTATTTGGCTAGTGAACACTACCAAGCACCGCCACTGCCATTTTTCGGTGAGTTTGACGTAGTGAGCGCAAGTGAGCGCTAGAATAGCAATTTCGCACTAGTTTGGCAGCACCTAAACGTCGTACAAACGTCCCATGACACGATCAAACAGTAACAAAGTGTGAAGTATATTTACTGGAGAGATGTTCTGGTCTAAAGCACGCTATCCATTTCAAAGTACACCAATAGGTATAAGTGAGCTCATTTCATCACATCTGAGGCTTGCTTCAAAATTTTTAACAGTGGAGCATCCCCTTTCACAACATCAAACATCCTACATCGATTTACATATATAATAACCTTTCGCAAACTTATGACGAGCAAAAGACACAAGGTGATGGCGCAAGGTGATCGCGAGCAAAAGACACAAGGTGATGGCGCAAGGTGATCTCGAGCAAAAGACACAAGGTGATGGCGCAAGGTGATCGCGAACACAAGGCACAAAGTGACGGCGCAACGCCCGGGGCCCGTGACCCGCTGAGAGCGGCCCGGGACCGCGCCCGTTCGGTCCGGGGAGATCCTCACCTGGCGCAGCTCAATGATCTCGGGCAGCTCGATGTCCAGCTGGGAGCCGAGATCGACGCAGGCCTGAATGTCCGCGGCCGGCGGCGGCAGTTCCGGCTCCACCAGCTGCACGGCACGCCGCTGGAACTCCTGCACCTGGGGCACGGAGGTTAACAGCTCCAGCACAGCTCGACAGCGCGCTCCTGTACCAAAGTTGCATACATCAACAGCGCGCCAGACCGTAGCATTTAGTTGCTACACCTGCAGCGCTACGGTAAACAACACTCAACAAGCACACAGCCCAATGAGCGGCAGCCAACGCCAGCACCGCGGGCAATAGAAATGGTAACGCACGGGTTTGACGCAGCTGACAATAGTTAGATCACGCTCGGATTGAATGACTGCGACCACAGGGCACCAGGTGAACGAAATCGAACCAGTGCTGAGCTTGCATCATCAGTAACACGATTGCCAGATCACCAGCAACGACCCGCCTCATCTCCGCTATCTTCGAGTCACTGTGACCTCTGCCGGATCATCACCCATGTCCCCTTTGTGCCAGCTTGGCCGCGGCCTCCAGCGCGTCTCCTCGAACACTTACCTGGTCCAGCAGGCGCCGGATGTCGTCCTGCTCGCGGATCCGGCACGCCAGCTGCTCGATGTGCTCGTGAAACAGCTCCAGCTCGTCCACCGTCAGGCGGTATTTGGTCTCGCCCTGTGGCCGCGTCCTATCGACAACAACGCGCGTCACCAACGGCCGGGCGACGCCGAGGCACCCGACGGGCGACCGTCGGGCGACACTGAGGTGTCTTGTGAACTAAGGCGACCAACAGGCGGGGCACATACGTACAGACACTGGGAGCAGACGTACGCATAGTCACAGTCGACGGACATTGGTAAGGCGGAGCTTCGGCTGTCAGATCCAGGTTTTGCGAACAGGAATCCGACCGAGGGATAATGTCTCTGTTTACCAGTCATTCGCTCTCTATGCTGCGGCATTGCGTAAGGTTTAGCTTAGTAGAGGCGCTGTGCGAGACCGGTGCCCTACGGTGGCCACAGCATGGCGACGCAGTTTTTACCTTAGAATGCTACAGTGCAGCAACCGAAAATCATGACTGCTTAAGTGACAATTTTTTCGTTTTTCTGCAATGATTGGATTAACGTTGGGTATGTTAAGAGTTTTGGTCGGGTCAAAATCGCAATATCTTCCCCATTCAGGGGACCAGTGCCTTGGGAAAATGGATAGTGGGCCCCTTCTTGAGCTGAGACTTCGGACCCTGAATATCCGAATACTCAGCCAGAATTTTCACGTTCGAATGCCTACCGGAAAACACACCGATATCTTCCAAGAACACCAAACATACACCTTGGATCCAACCAACACCTGACTTTCGCATCTCTGTGGCCCACGGTTTAATCCTCAATACCCTCGATCCCCTTACATCACGTTTGCGTGAAAAGGGACTTCATCGCAATCCTGGGACACCACTGGTATGCCAAACATCTATAGTTTTACCTACACATGGTATGAAAAAATGAAGTATTTTTTGTGGCCTTTCCCATGGCAGTGATATTTTTCCTTGAAAAAAATCCTCCCAATCCGTGGGTAAGCTACAGTTTCTGCACGTCCGCCCGGTATGTCTATGGCTTCATATGTCTTTGAATCGATCTGCATGTGTACAAGCGGCGTCCATACAGCTATATGCACGTGTCCAAGAGGAGATTACGATCAGAGCAGCGGTAAGCCCTGTTTGTCGCAACAGTCAATTCAAACTGCAATTAAAATGTTGCACTCGGAAATCAATCAGGTCCAAAGGCACCAAGCTTATCAGCGAGCACTAAGTGAATACGGAAGTTTAACATAAGCTGCGCACATGATACGAAGCACACGACGCTGTGTGCTTTCGAGTTGTGGATCGGGAGCGTTTCATTGCTCAATAAAAATGATGCCTTTAAAAAATCGTACCTTTTGAAAACGACCTCATGGCATCACTTATGGACTGACCGTAGTTTTCGTTTCCCATTCATGGATATATGCGTAGATGAATGGGATCAGCCTATCCACCTGGACGTGTCTCCAATCCATTGAGTTTTCCGCTGACTTCGGTCTCCTTGAGGGCTTCGGCGCAGAGACTGGTCAGCATGGCACATTTTGGCCAGACAATTTTGCCATAACGCCCTCCAACAATAAGAAAAGCATTGGTTAATCACATCACCGGCTCCACCGGCACGTCAATGTACGCCGGAGCATGGCGCGCCACCATCTGGACGAATCGGTGGACGCCGCCGTACAGAAAATCCGGTAGCTTCACCAGCACGAGGGCGCACCACACAGAAAGCTCGCGCCATGCAGTCAAGCATGCTCGACCTCAACGGGACAGGGTTGCACTCGCATCGGACCAATCACACACGCACACACATGCGGTTACACGCACAGTAAACTGGGGCCTCTAGAGTACGACATGGTATCTACTCGGCAATGACTGACGTGCATAGCGGCAGTCCCGAACGGAGGGCCGTGGGAAATAGCTGTGCAGTCAGCCCAGTCCCGACAGTCATACAGAAGCGGATCGGAGATGGAGCACGATCCAGCCCACCAAACATGCACACAGCGGCTGGACAGCGGCGCGGGCCCGACATGGAGCAGGTCTGGGTCAACTACAGCTACCGTGTCTCAGCGAGTCGCCCGCCCTCTGGCACCGGCCGGCAGACGCGCAGATTTCAGTGTGGCGCGGCCCCAAACCGCCGCTTAACGCCGCCCGATCGGCGATACGGGAGCTCGGATGAACGACGCATCACCTTCCGTACAAGCTGTGGCAGCGGTTCTGGTGGACGCCGCGAGCCTCCGCTGCTCGTGCGCAGGCCCCGGGCGCAGGAAGTGGGTGACACTCCATGCTTTCATCCCCCCCCCCCCCCACGTCCAACAAATGGCAATGACCACGGCCCGCCGTCGATGGTCACTGCGCCCCCAACCCGACGAGAATCCCTCTGGAGCAACGGCAGCCGGCTACCGACGAAGCATACGGGCGAGCTCTGGGCCAACGCCAGTCAAACAGGACCAAGATCAGAACAAGAACAACACACCAGTCTATCATAAACCCACATATATTCATGCCAATAAAAACATCACGGCTATCCACAAGGACACTTCCTGCTGGCAGGAAGCTGCTATTTGGCTGAGTTATTGCAGCTACGACTGGAATATAAAGCATACTCACAAAAACGATTCGATTTGGCACGTAGCAGAGCCTGTGCCCCGTACTCGACCATTAAGACAAATCCGTAGCGGATTCGAGGCAAAGCTCGTTGGTCGAACCGTCTAACCAGCGGTTTTCAAACGGGCCCTTGCAATTTAAGGGCAAGAAGAAACACTAGACCAGAGACGTGCATAGCAGTGGGGATTTAAATAACGCCCTACAAGCATACAATCATTGGCATAAAGCGTCGCTTGAGTCGACGCAGCGAATCTGCATGCCACGTATGACGCGAGGATCGAAACAGGGCTGGGGAAGTGGCGTGAGTGCGTCACACGCACATCCAGTCACCCCGAACGCCAGCAGACTGCGCCACCAGCCTGCCGCACCGGCATCGACGGGTGACGACCGACGCACCACCAGCACGCCAACACCGATCATGGCGCCAGCCGGTGCAACCGCTTGGTTTTGCCCATCGATATTTCAAGGAATGCCAAAAGATGAGTTCCGATGGCCTTTGGTGCGCAGTGCGATAGAGCCTTGCACATGGGTTATAAAGGCACGTACATTCAGTGTTTGACAAACACGGAAACTAACAGGCTGTGCTGCTCCCTGAGATAGTGGCACAAACACATCAATTGCAAGTGAAACTAGAGAAACACAGAAGGTGACATCGAACAACATAACGCACTTTGCAGCGCAACAGCCCCGCTTAGTGAAGTAGTAATAAGACAGCCGCTGCAGCACCGTTCGGATCCTGATCCGCATACAACCGGGCGGGGTTCAACTCGTCAAAGCAGACCATGCAGCGGAACCATATGGCAACGGCTGTGCAACTGACTTAAATACACGGTTTGTTACGAATTACGAGCCCGTTTGCCACACGGGTTCATAATAAAACACGCTTCAAACACAGGAAACACTCCGAAGGCGCCGCCAAATATCCTGTTCGTAATATCTAGCGCGGTTACATCTGAGACATGCAGTACATCCTCCCATCGGAGCGCGCCAACAGAATCAAGAGTGCCCACTTCGCTGGCGGCTCTCGGGAAGCTCGTAGGTACATCGCGAAGCATACAATCGGCTAAGAAGTGCACACGGTGCCGCCCCGGACCGTGGGCGTTCCGCCACTCAGTGCACAGGACCGAGCCGGGCGAGTCCACTGCGGCCCGGCGCCCGCCGCGCAGCCTCATGAGATCAGCGCCATCTGCCGACCGGCCGGTCGCCGGCGGCGTCCGCGCAGACAGCGGCACCAGCGGCACCAGCGGCGGCGGAGGCGGCGGCGACGGCGGCGGCGGCGGCGGCCGGGACGCCGCGTCCGGCGGCCGCCTACGTGCCACTCCTGTAACACACGTGCGCGGTGCGAAAACAAGGAGGCAGCGCCGGGTGCGCTGCGGCGCGCCAGCGACAGAGGCGCGTGCGCCTGAGCGGCGGGCCGCCGGCGCCAGGGGGCCAGGTGGCGGGCGGGGAGCCGACCGCGCGCACACACACACGACGACCGCCTCTGATCAGCGCCGACACATGACCGCGCGGAGGGACGGCAACAGAGCGTGCGGACGCGCGGCGGGGCGCGGCGCGGCGCCGCCTGCAGCAGCCACCTGACCCCTCTGGCCCGGGCGGCCGCCCCGACCCCGGCCACCGCTGAGACACTCACCTGGTGCGGACTTTCTTCGTGGCCAGCTGCTGCGCCACCATCGAGCACTTGGTGGCTTCCTCGATCACCATGGCCAGTGAGCTGATGAGGTCTGACTCGGGGAACCGCTTGGCCTCGGCCTCCTGCAGCAGCCCCTTCAGCTCGTCCAGGCCTGAGCGACAGCGTGGGCGTCACAGGTCAAGCCGCTGACATCAGTGCTGGTACACGGGTCAACTCCCAAAACTCTATCCGATTGTACGATGTTGGAATATTAATTTAAAGATTCTGGCGCAGAAAACAAACCGGATCTCGGACTGCTGTCGGTAAGCACAATTAAGATGATCAGGATAATGCTTTGCTGCCTGAAACACGGTATGCCATCCGCCGTTTTGCAATATCTGCGAAACTTTTTCAAAGATTTCTAATCCGAGACTGTTAAATGGATGAATTTCTGGGATCACAGTTATCGCTAAGGAGTACTTGTTATGTGAGCGCCAACCCCTACCATCCAATCGAGAATTCCAGGGCAACGGCAAAATTTAGCGGCGAAAGTTTAACGTTGCTCGGAACGGTCTGACCAGCCCTCTGACGTCACTTGACCTTCAGCGCGGCCGCTGCCACCGGCCGCTGGCCACACCAGTCCAGGTCAAATAGCGGGCGCCTAAAGCGAGTCGAGCCCAGCCCGCCACTGGTGGGTGGACCGGAAGGTAGGCACTCTAACCAACTGAGTCGTCGGGACGGACAAATTACTTAGTGTGTAAGTGATCTTCCAATGGAGATACTTTTGCGAAGCATCCTCAGTGCCGCCACCAAGTTTCCAGGTGGCGTGGTTGTGACATACGAGGTGAACAATCGGATTCAGAACAACCAAATTTGCGAATTTAGCGGTTACTGAATTCATAAATAGCTGTAACATTCGGAAGCATTCCAATAACTGGTGAAATTTGAAGACATCTACGAACGCTTTTCACGCTTCTTGGGCATAATCAGTGGCAAAGCTGTTCGCGGCAGTCGGCTTTCAGATCAGTGGCTACTGGCTACCAAAACCGGCAACGGCGACTCGCCGGCTATCCGACTAGCTGATAACTAACAATCAGTGCGAGTCCAGCAGTCAGTTTCACTAGTAGATGCAGAGTGGGAAATTAACCCTATCGTTTTAAAGCTAATTGGATCGCTTAAATTTTCTCCTGAGATGCCAATAAAAATGACTTTCCCCGAGATATTGGCAAATCTCACATTGCCTGCCAGGCCTTTGGAAACTTTCAGCGATCTTAACAGTGTAGTTATGGCTAGAGGCTTGCATGGCTAACATCACGCTACTGTACACCATAAGTAAATATTACAAAAATGCCACAGGCGATCTAGAAAATCGAGATTTATTCCTTGGGCAACAGCTAATCACCTTGTTCTCAATTTTTAACGGATTTCCACAAATCTAAAAAAATCCTGCATATCTAGTAATCTTGTTAAACATTCAGGCTGGTGCGTAGTGGTCCAATAACATGAAATACTTTGTGTGTGCTTACAAGTTAAACATACGACTCATCGAGTAAATTGAATGTCTGTAAATTCCTGTAGCCGTGGCTGTATGTTTGCCGCGCGCCCTCACCAAGTCGAGCGTCGCCGGTGGCCTCGAGTCCGTCCTTAACGCGCAGGATCCACTGGTCGAAGCTCTCGACGCGCACCTTCAGGCCGTGCAGCATCTCCGGCAGCTCCTGCAGCGTGTACCGGTACCTGCCGACGGCCCACAGCGTACCGCTCAGCATGGCGCCCGACACCGCGTTCACCAGCTGGTTCATGGGCTGCTTGAGGGCAGTGTGGCATTGGCACATGACATTTTGAAATGCTGCAAGCAGGAGAGCAGGAACGACGTGAAGAAAGAGGGTCATGTTAATGGAAAGATGTGGACAGACAGCAAGAAGCGAAGGGGAGCGACGGGAAAGAGGAGAGCAAAGGAGAGCGAGACAGAGAGCGAGAGAGGGGATGGGGCACTCAGAAGGGTGTCTGACGACCCACCTCAGTACGTGATTTCGCGGCCGGGCACTGGCAGAGCTTGTCGTAATGGCGCAGGCACACGAGCCGCTTGCCGCACGGACAGGTGATGGCCGAGAGAAAGCAGGTGGTCTTGCAGTAGTCGCACTGGCGCTCGTCGTCCTGCAGCAGCTCGAACGCCTCCCGCTCTGCCTTCCGCACGCCCTGGCGCAGGCGGCGGCCACGTCAACCCTACGCCCACACTGGTATGAAGGTGATAAACGCACCATGACGGCTATGATAAACGCACCATAAACGCATATGAGGCTACACGCACCAGACGTCGGCTTCAGGCACCACTGTATGGCGGAAACAACGCACGAGCGAAGCATCAGTACTAGTGCTCAGTAGACTCGGCTAGTCCCGACGACCTCTCCGCCGCGACCGTCGCCTGGCGCGACGCCCCTCCCCCCGTGCACACACACCTTCTCGAGCATCTCGGTGCGTCCCTGCCGCTCCGATTCGATCATCTTGAGCATGTTCTGGTAGGTGGCGCTGGCCACCAGCAGGCTGAGCTTCTGCGGCTCCAGCGCCATACTGCACACCAGCTCGTCGTGCGAGAAGACGCAGAAGCGGCGCAGCTGCGAGTAGTGCGCCACGCACTCCCGCCCGATCGCCAGCTGGCGGCAGGAGCGAGCGGCGTCACCACGGGCGCGGAACGGTCCGCGCCACGTCACCACAGGCACGACACGGTCCGAACCGCAGGCACAGCACGGTCCGAGCCGCGTCACCACAGGTACGGCACGGTCCGCGCCGCGTCACCACAGGCACGACACGGTCCGAACCGCAGGCACAGCACGGTCCGAGCCGCGTCACCACAGGTACGGAACGTCGCGCGCGTCACCCGGACGCGTCGAACCGCAGGCAGCCGCGTCAGCCGCGACCACAAGCCAGCGTCCGGCTGCTCACACGAGCACCCGGTCACACGTCACCAAGGGCACAGCACGGTCCGCGCCCAGTCAACCAACGGCGACAGCGCCTAGACTACTCAGTCAACATCCTCATCTTGTGTTCCATACCGCCAGCACGCTAGATGTGGCAAAGCACACTACAAGGTCTCGTACCGACCCTTCTCAGCATTCGTGGGCACACATGCAGGAGAGAGAGAGGGAGACGGCGGGCGGAGCATACCCAGTCGGGCGGGGCGAAGTTGACGGCCTCGGCGAAGTTGAAGCCTTGGTTGAAGCCGGTGTGGTAAGCGCGAGGAAGAGTGATCACAAACTCGCCGGCGTGCTGGTCCGTTCGAAAGATTGGAACGCCTGCAACCGCAGTCATCTCAATCACGGACCGTCAAGGACACCAATGCCTTCCAAAACGCGTCGATGACGGAACTTCTCTGCAAGTCCCATGCAGGTCTGTCCTGCAGTAATACATTTGTCAGTCATCTTGCTTACTGTCACTTTTGTCAGTCATTTTCGCCCGAAAGTGTTTGGTGCGCGTGCCAGGAACCGGATCGGCTTGAGATAAGTACATTTGTAGGTAAACGCAGTACATTCTGAGAAAGTCATGGATTAGATGTATACTTACCATCATGCCAAGTGATGCACATGTTGCCTAACAATCCGTACCAGCACAACTTCACGGGGTTGACCCAGTGGAGAGCACTTTCATTAAAAGTAAAAAATGATGTCAAGTCCTCATGGTAAGTCACTTTTGCCACACACCACGTAATGTAATGTCTGTAATGATGCCGCGGATTTGCGGCTTTCGCAAGAACGATATGGAAGAACAGCATTCCAAATACGACAGTAATGAAGCGTTACTGTTGAATGTGTCAGTTTTCTCTGGCAATAACATCACGGCGAGGTCAGCTGAACCAAACATCACAAACGGCCAAAATCTCCGTCTCGTTCTACTTGCTGGGTCTGAAAATATCATTCTACAAACAATACATTTCACTACATTGAAGAAACATGACTCGGAAAACGTTACTGGTGGGTCCAATCCCTTTAGCGACACACCCGATTATGACCCGTCGCATGCGCCGTGCCCCGGCTGCCCGTTACGAGCCGGGTTAGTGGCCGCTCACCTGCCGCCATCAGCACGTTGGGGTTCATGGTGGTGACCAGCTGGTGCAGCAAGTCCGGCTGAGCCTTGAACAGCTCAGGCGCGGCTGCCCTCATCGCATCCTCGAACTGCTGCGCGCGCATGCCCGAACAGCCGTACCACGTCTTGGGCTCGCCCCTGGCCATGACAGGCGGCCGTGAGCGGGCGGCGGAACGGACGGGCCTCACGCAGCCGGCACGGCCGGCGTGCTGGGGCACGGTGTCAGGTGCAAACACTGACAAAACCCGCGGATGACAAGGCATTGGCAATTGGCGCTCTCCGCTGGTAGGTGTGACGGTGGATAAGCGACGTGGTGAAGTGAAGTCATGACGGCGAAAGATCATAGTGAACTTCGGGACACTTACCAGTGCAAATAGTTGATCGAATAGCTCCAGTGGTCCTCGTTGTGCCAGCAAAACGTGGAGAAGCACATGCCGACGTACATCCAGGGCACCTTCATGCCGGAGATGTTGGCCTTGATGTGCGCCAGGATCGAGTCGTCCAGCACGGCGATATTGTTGAGATTCCAGCCGGATGTGACGTACTTCTGCAGTGGATACAACGGTCATCAGCATTTCTCCGACCGGGATCTCAAACCCTCCCGCATATTCCTCACACAGCGACAGCTGTCGGGTCGATGTCGACCGCTCCGCCCTGTGCCGTGCTGCCCCGGGCCGCCCCGGCCGGCTCACCTGGTCATCGGCGCTCAGGTTGTTGGACTGGCTGGTGGGGAAGCCGGAGCCGTGGTCCATGGTGTGCAGGTCGGCACCGTACTCGACGCACACGTCCTCGTCGATCGACGACACGATCCGCCAGAACTCGCGCTCCACCGTCTGCGTGGGGATCATCTGCCGAGAGCGCCAGACCAGCTGTAGGGGCGGCGCCGACAGCGGCCGCCCGGCCGCAGCCCGCCGAACACGGGGGGACTCAGACCAGACCAGCTGTGGAGGCGGCGCCGACAGCGGCCGCCCGGCCGCAGCCCGCCGAACACGGGAGGACTCAGATGGCAAAACAGAGGACACATTGATCACCATGTGCTCACCAGGAACGGACAGGGTTACCATGCAGCTCTGTGGTCTGTCATAGGCGGTTTCCGAAGTACCCAATATCCACAACAGCAACAGAGCACGCCAGTAATCATCAGACGTCCGCCACCGTCGAGACCAGAGCACCGCCCGCCAGCGCCCAGCGCGCACGGCCGTGCCAGCGGCCGGCCTGTCCCAGCAGCGGCCGCGGCTCTTACGTGGACGGGCATGTTGAAGTAGTCCGACTTGAACTGGTCGGCCATCTCCCCGAACGTCTGTAGCGTGTACTCCTTCTGCGCCTGCTCGAAGCCGAACGCCTCCTGCGGCTTCTCCACCTCAGCGGCCACACACTGGGGACAGCGCCAGTCGCCTGCCGGCCGAGGCGCGCGCCGCTCAGCAGGGCACGCGGCCGACACACCACTCGAAGCGCCCGTCATCAGTCATCCCCAACACACACACACCGAAAATGGTACGTTTAAAGCGTGTAACGCATGCTGTCAGAAACAGCACAGCCAAGGTCAAAATTTCCCTTCACTTACGCTTACAACTTCCCGGCAATCTCGGATTCGACTTCCGTCATCTAAACAGACGGCGCCGAGCTGAGAGTGCGCTCGGCTCGCTGTGCGTTAGTGCTGTGAACGTTGGCTGCCGACACCTGTGTGCCGCACGAGCCGGGCGCCTGGCTGTGCGCCAGTGCTGTGAGCGCTAGCCGCCGACGCTCGTGTGCCGTGCGAACTGGGCGCCTGGCTGTGCTGTGAACGCTAACAGCCGACACCGGTGTGACGCACGAGCTGGGCGCGTCGCTCACCTTTGGGGATCTCCACCAGCGGCGGGTTGAGACAGAACGTGTGGTAGCTGTCGTCGCAGCCGTCGCAGAGCAGCATCGACTCCTCTGCGTCGCCCTTGGTGCAGATGTGGCAGACGTAGCGGGCCAGCTGGCGGGACACCGGTCAGTCAGAATACCAGCCGCAGATAACGCGGCCAGCGCACCACCCAAACACACCAACACAGCAGGCTGACTGGAGACCTGGGCTGGCAGCCTGGCCAGCCGCAGATAACGCGGCCAGCGCACCACCTAGACACACCAACACAGCAGGCTGACTGGAGACCGGGGCTGGCAGCCTGGCCAGCCGCGGGTAACGCGGCCAGCGCACCATATACAGACACACCAACACAGCGGGCTGACTGGAGACTGGGGCTGGCAGCCTGGCCAGCCGCGGGTAACGCGGTCAGCGCACCACCCACAGACACACCAACACAGCGGGCTGACTGGAGACCGGGGCTGGCAGCCTGGCCAGTCGCAGGTGACGCGGCCAGTTGTAAACTACTGGCGCCAATAATGTCTTTGTACTGATTTAAACCGGCTGACAGAAGCTCGCATAATCCGTGGAGCACTCAATTATATCAGCCCGTGTTACTGCCAGACAGTGGACAAAGTCGAACGGCAGAAAAAAAACATTACCTGATAAGAATGGTGTTGTGAGTATAGCATCCACATTTGGAGATTATACATAGCCCGAGTACTGCCCGACTGTCACAATTTCGTGTCGTCAGATATTGTTAAAACGACGCCTGGGATAAGGTGCTGTTACGTCAGCCTAGAGAAGCGCCAAAGCCCGAAGTTCAAGAGAGGAGATTTGGCCAGAAGCAGTGTCTTCAGTTTGCATTTGTACCTATCACCTTTGTAACTTGGGTAGTACACTATGAAACATTTGTTAAGAATAACATACGTGTGAGATGGCCATACAACTTTCTTCATTAAACCTGCATGCCCCTTTATCACCTACTTACATGCTCACCTACATCCTCTGAAATCGGTTCCGGCAATGTACAATAAGCGCTAGTTCCGCCCATGTACAATGAGCGCTAGTATAATTTTCACGAATGAATTGCATATTGCATGCTCTTTATGTACATGTTTTATCTTCGCGTACCTTGAAATGTTCCCTTTATGCCATTATTGCCTACTATGTTCGCAGACATAAATGTGTGCGTTGATTTAAGATCAGAGAAGTCACATTCGGACTCTTGCAGGTTGTATCAGTGCTTGGCTAAGGCGGAGCATGCAAAGGCTGGTTCCATTCAAACGCTTCGGCTCCAGTGCGGACCTGAGGCCACCGTCCCCCAAACTGGCCGCTCTGTGACAGCGCGCATCTGGCCGGTTCACTGCACACAGGCCTGGGCAGGCCAAACACGGCGTTAGGACACAGTTCGCGAGCAGCCTCGGCAGTCGAGGACACCCGTCCCCTCGTCGCCTTGGGCTTCACGACAAGCTCAGCTGCTGAGGCTATATGAGATCGCCTGCCTCTCACCCTGGCGGGAAGGGCAGGCGCCGCGGTAATCAAACCCCGTGCCTCTGGTTTCCCAGACGTGCAGCGGCTGAGCAGACGCGTTAACCACTCCACTATCGGCCCCCTAGACCCGTGCCCTCGATACTATCCCTACGGCCGCATGGCAGTTCCCAGTCGTCCACACGCGGACAGGCCGGGGCTACGTACTGGGTCCTGGTCGTACAGGATCTTCTTGGCGCGTGGCTTGTTCTTGGAGCTCTCCTGGTACCCGGACATTTTGGGGCCGGCTCCGTAAAACTGCAGCCGTTTCAGCTCCTTGTTGTTGGGCCCCTGGTCGGCCAGCTCCTGCCAAGAGATACATTTATGCATTCATCGCAAGGCGTGTGCTCTGATTAGGCGCAAGATCTGCCGCATCAAATACATGTGCTGAGAGCTTATGCGAAAAAGATGTGCCGGGAGGATGAGCAAGTGGCTAGTCACAGCAATGTCATGCAACTAGCACATGATCAGCACGATTGTAAACGGCAACCGGGTGATGGTACGTGGCGGAGTCCGTCCACATATCACCATTCGCTCCGATTTCTCAGGTTTTCAAGACAACCATTTTACAACCGTATCGGCTTCAAAACATGCTCTTACAAGATGAGTGCAGTTAGAGCAATGGTGCATCAGTCATACAGTCACTATTTTGGATAGGCTCCGAGGAGCGTAAGCCTTTGAACGCATAAAATACGTGAGAAAACATCTATTGAGAAAATCACACACTTTGATGTTTAAAAATCGCAAGGACTCTGTAGCTGACATTTTTAAGTCGTGACAATTGACATACAAGAGGTGACACTTGTATGTCACGTGTCAACCACACAAGAACAGCCGCCAAAACAAGCGGTGTTACATCTCGCAGGACTACACGACCAAAGGTGCTGCGTGAGGGGGATCAACAGATCGACGACAAGGGGCGACGCGCCAAGACCGACCGCTGTCCGACGACGCCGCGCATTCGATGCACGGAAAAAAACACCATGGAGTGCTACATTCAGGGCAGAGGTAAGATATTGCCCCACAGAAAATTGTCGCCATTCATCCCAAGCACGGATGAATAAGGCGTTCTTACCGCGCTGGACGCGGTGCTCGACTCAGACGGCTACGAAATGAACAAACCATGAAAACGCAGCCGACGATCAGCAAACCTCCTCCATCGCAACAGGCATTTCATGTGTCCAGAGGCAAACCAGCCACCACCCGCACAAGTGCACCGAACGCCCTCTCCCCCCCCCCCCCCCCCCCCTCCATGTGCGGTGTCTCAGCGCCAGGTGCTGAGCTCCTGTGGGGTCCGGGTGGCGCGCCCCGGCCGTACCTGGACGGCGTCATGGTCCAGCGTGGTCTCCTGAGGGCGCATGATGCGCCGAGACCCGCCCGCCATCTTCTTGCCCGTCTCCTCTGGCTTGGTTTCCGCCGGCTCCGGCTCCGGCTCCGGCTGCTGTGAGGCGGGTCAGGGTCAAACGGCTGTCCATGGAGCGCCAGATCTCCATTCTCTGCGGCGGGATCGGTCCGGCACAGTTCTCAGGATGGTCAGGGTCAGGGTCAGACAGCTGTCAATGGAGCGCCAGATCTCCATTCTCTGCGGCGGGACCGGTCCGGCACAGTTCTCAGGATGGTCAGGGTCAGGGTCAGACAGCTGTCCATGGAGCGCCATATCTCCATTCTCTGCGGCGGGATCGGTCCGGCACAGTTCTAAGGATAGTCAGGGTCAGGGTCAAACAGCTGTCCAGAGAGCGCCAGCTCCGGTCCACCGTCTCGGTCCACGTCCGTGTCAGTCACGGTTGGCGGCAGGGCCCGGGTCAGAGGGATGTCCAGAGAGCGCCTACTCCGGTCCACCGTCTCGGTCCAGGTCCATGCCAGCCACGGTTGGCGGCAGAGTCCGGGTCAGACGGATGCTGCGGCGGGACCACGCTCAGTCTGAGTGGTTGTCCTGCTCTCATCACGGCAGCGTTCTGGACCGCATGCAGGCGGGGCAGGTGAACACTCTCCACGCTCGCTGTCAACAGCACAAGACTGGCCAGCACACAGCGCAATAGCGAAATGAACTCACCTCCCCAGCCGCAGTCTGCGATGCCTTGAAGATATCATAAGGCAACAGGATCTTGTCGTAGTGGTGCTTAAGCGTGAAGCTGAGATGGTGTTTGGCGGTGGGGAAGCCCATGCGGTGGGCGATCTTGTTCCAGCGTCGGTTCTGGGAGACCACCTCAGGCCCACCTGCACGGAGAGATCGGATGTGGTTTGGCGGCTGGCGGTCCTGCAATTCTCACCCCACTTGCTGCCAATACGACACACGTTGCGGAAAACAAACTCGACGAATTTCACGTCCACATGCATTCATGATATAGCATTAACGTGAGAAACACGTGCATGTGAAAGGTATACCGCGGAAGAAAGCAACGCGCAACAGCCCAGCACAGCAGTCGAAAAGCCTATCGGACTATTGGACGAAGGAACGTCGCTGTCGCATACGCACGGCGCGTGTGTCAGTGTGGTGACTTAGTGTTATGAAATATGCATCGAGTTTGTCGTTTAACGTTTCATGTCATGTCAATCCTGCACGCACATTTTTCATGCTGCGTTCTCGCAAAACCACTTCACCTTGAATGAGATATGCAGCCTTGTAACACTGCAGCAGCTTTGTTTAATGCAAAAAGTCCATGTAACCAAAGAAAACATGCTCCGGATTCTGAAGAATTGGACCGATAATGTTAAAATGGTGCTGATGTGAGTGCGCTGTTGTCTATGTCACATATGAACGATCAGCACCACCCCTCCCAGAAATGTGTTCATTGTACCGAGAATGTTTGGGCTTGAATCAATGTAGCAAAATGGACTTTTTCGAACTTGGTACGTGACAACCATGGCAAAGTGGCGCCTGGAAAGCTTGCGAGAAAAAAACCGTGATGCCTCAGTAATACTGCAAGTATTTATCCAATGCTGATAACAGGTCCGTAGTCACATTCATAACTAACAAATCAGATGTCAGTGTCCCATACCGACTGACATCCTAATATCTCACCCTCAAAAACGGTCCGGCATCGGCAAACAAACCCCAGCAGACCGCCCCCATTGCACGACGAATGGCGCACACACCAGCATTGCGTCATCCGTAAAACACAAGTTGTGTTTATTCGAGTCACTTTTTCCGATCAAAGCAGCATCGCAGGCCTGACCTATCCACAGACGGGTGGCAGCCAGCGACCCAACACGACCGCTCACGAGTATCGTACCTTCCTTCTGTACTTCACAGTGCAGGGCATGGAGGTCGAGTGCTTTGCTTTCCACCAGAGGTATCCGCAGTGAAGATCCCTGTAGCTCCCAGAACTTTGCAATTTGATCCAGGAAGTTCAACTTCACTCTAGTATGAGCCTGCAAGTGAGCGATAAAACATTATGTAACATAATATTCTCAGCAAAAGTCATATGGTTCGGTTCCCATTCCACGCAACAGTATAGGGAGCAAAAACCGGGAACAAGGTGAAGGGTGGCGTACCCCCCCCCCCCCCCCCCACAGAACCAACATGATAACTCAAGCTTCTGCACAGTTTTGCAGGAATTCAGTCCAAGATCACCTGAAATTCGACAAGTCTAACTTCTTTCATGCCAACTGAAACCAATTTGCGCCATGCGCCTGGCAAAAACACCACCCAGCCTGAGGGTGAAACAGGAAAACCATCACGCCAAGCCCGAGGGTGAAACAGGAAAACCATCACGCCAAGCCCGAGGGTGAAACAGGAAAACTATCACGCCAAGCCCGAGGGTGAAACAGGAAAACTATCACGCCAAGCCCGAGGGTGAAACAGGAAAACTATCACGCCAAGCCCGAGGGTGAAACAGGAAAACTATCACGCCAAGCCCCAGGGTGAAACAGGAAAACTATCACGCATAAGAAACATACTGGTGCACTCTCCCAAAATACACGACACCCTCTGACTTCCAACAGGTGAAACATTCTCATATCAAACGTACCTCAAGCTCATTCAACCGCTGTATTCGCGGCGTGAACTTCAGATTGTCGACATCCACAGCGAATGGGGGTTGCCAATCCTGTGAATATAACAAGCATATGCATGTACCTCTTCAGCCCTCATGAATGCAATGTTTTAATATTTTTCCTGGGATAAGTATGCTTTAATCACTACAGTGCCCTCACATCTTAAAGGGAGTGTTCCATGTTTGCATGGTGCTTTGAACTGAAAAAGCCCTCTTGTTGAAGATCATTCTAAGCAGTTCACAGCCCTGCCCATCTCAACACCTAAACTATTGTAGTTTCTCATGAAGAGATACAGGCTGTTTTGGGGAGGCTACCTGAGGGTCACACAGGCATCCATGAAGCCATGGCATCATTCTAATCCTACCATTCCACCAATGCAGTGATCAAGGCCAAGAAAAACATAACTGTGAAGGTGTCCACATTTGGCATTTGAGCATGATTTTCAGCTGCAATGGCCATAAATTGCCCCTCAATCAATAACATGTAAGGTATGATGACCAAATCAAACAATGACATATTGTGGAGCACTCGTACTAAACAGAGAAATTGTGTTGCATAGTTGGTCTTTTTCACTTAAAAGTATACCAATAGATATAAGTGAACTTATTCCATTATTTCTGATGCTTGCTTCAATATCTCCAAATGTAAACACTCCCTTGAACACAAACACACATAGAAGCCTAGTTATGTTCAGTCGTAGGGCCGACGGCCGGAGGGTGACGGTGGTGGCCGTGACGTCGGCGTCCAGTCCGGTGGCTCGTGACATTGGACGGGGGCCGCGCCTCTCACCGGTGGAGGGATGATGCGAGCGATCCCTGTCTGCTCAGCTATCGGCCGGATCTTGTTGATGTAGGCCAGGGGGTCAGCGAACTCCTCCTCAGTGGGCCGGAACACCGGGGCCTCCGGTGGCGGCACAAACTCAAACTCTGCCGCCATCACCTGCCTGGAGCACAAACACACTTAGGCATGCTGACACTGCTGATATCAGGCTGGGACACAAAAGCAAATTCTGACATTGCTGCCATCCCCCCAACAAGTGTGCCCAGTTGAAGGAGGCAAACACATCAACAGGAACACCTTTAATAACTGAGTAAGGTCAAAGACAAGTGAATGACATATCTGCTCTTGGATGACCCAGCCCATCTAGCAATGCAGGGCAGATACTGAACTGAAGCTTGAACACCCTGGGCAGTGAGCCTCCTGAGCTATAAAACCAACATGTGAGTGCCTGCAGGATGTGGAGTAAACTGACATGGAGGATAGATAGAATGATAAAACAGACAACAAATGATAAAACCATGAAATCACGCATTACTTATCTTTCTCTCACACACATGTGGATATATATATATATATATATATATATATATATATATATATATAGCATAACACACATACATGTATACATTACATGAACCCCAATGTCTTTATAAGAATTGTACAGAAAATGATCTCTTGCAAGGGCCAGTGCAACCAACTTTTCCAAGGAAACATTTAAGGGCTTCCCAAGCAGATCAGGGGCTTCTTATACCAAGCCTCACCTAAAATTTTCCTACTGAATTGCATTCCCTTCTTAAGCCTTTAGCCTTTAACTTATGTCAGACAGACAGTATCCTGAAATTAGATGTGAAAGGTGGATAGCCAATAGGTGAACAAGTTAGCTTTACAGATGGATTGAGATAAGATAGTCTAAACTGTTTTACCCATGACAGCTATGTTTGCAATACCCTTGCCTCCAGCACCTAAAAGCATATTTGGCTGGATGTGAGGTAAATGTAACCATGACCAGTGACATATAGGTAGCTGAAACTTCACAGACTTCAGTCATTATTACAACATACACTTCAAACTATGTGAGGCTGTGACCCATTGGTGAGGCATATACCAAAGGTAAAGAAAACCCACTGATGTTGCCTTGATTCTCCTTTTGTGATTACCTATTCAGTGCCATGAATAGGTAGAATACAACTTAAAAGACTGTACCTTGGCTAAAATGTAGCTGCACCAACTACCATGCCCCTGATGCTTTCACTTATATTGTGGCTTGCATGACATTGCAAACATTATGTGCTCAGTGGAATGATGCAACAGGTGCACAGCATTTTAAGCACCTGCTTCTATCAGCCTGTATTGGGACAGACACCTTTACAATATAATTATTGATATCAACAACTTTCTATCAGACCTACTTAGGGAGCCAGAAAATTTAAGAATTGCAAGCAGCCAATTCCTAATGGTCTTTGGCAATCAATGAGACCAACTAGGGCATGGTGTTCACTATCATCTGCTGCCAAAGAATGTCCTTTAGTACCAGCTGTGAATGCAGCGCAGATTCACTTGGGTTAATTTGTTCTCGCTACTAGCTGTGATTCTAATATTTTTGTTCTCTCCATGAGCCAAAACCAGATTTCTGATAATGCATGACATGCATGTCAATGCCTTATAATCAGATTGCTGCATGACATTTATTTTGATTCAGTATCAGAGGCATGTGAGATCCTGGGAGGCCAGTGGAGAAAACATTCTATCAATCATTACCCAAATTAGAGTGATGTGATTCATGTCATACATACCTACATACCACACATACCTGTTTCATTTGGTGTTGGATGACAAATATCCCAACACAAATTCTTAAAACCCTGCACACCAAGTGACTTGCCGAAATGCGCCTGAAAAGAGCATTGCATCAGCCGCTTTGGATGACGAACACTGCTGGCGTTGAACAGAATTTGGCTATTGGCTAAATGACTGACATGCCCTCCTTCCTTTCACTATCGAACCTATGCATGACCCGCTCAGGCAAACACCCATACAAATTGGAAACACATCACACGAGGCTTCCAAGCACGTTGTTTCCTCCACACACCTAACATCGCGCACACTTCGCCAGTCCAACAAATCAATACGATCGAGTTAGGGCCAGATGCTCCACAAAGGCATCCAAAATGGCGCTCCGTATTTGCCGGTGGTCCCCAAAGAGCAAGGATACCACAAACACAACCTGCCATTCGACAATTTCTTTGTGTTGCTTATACGTCATTGTATTCACCGGCCGGTGTGCTCAAGATTTTCAAAAAGTGAAGTCGAAACGTAATAAGTGGAAGGGGCGAAGGGAGAGAGGGTAAGGTTAGGGTAAAGTCTGGATGAAAATAATCCGTTTTCTAAGTTGAATTATAGCAAGAACTTAAAGGAAATGTTGCATCATGAATGACTAAGGATGACTCTTAGTCTTCCATGGTTACACATTTGAAGATGTCGACGCAAGCACCAGATATCATGAAATGAGCTTACCGTAACCATTGGCGCGCTTTTATCCGAATATGACTTCCCTAGACAGCGAGCTTTAACTATTTAGCGATTATGTCACTCAATACGTCATCGTTTAACCGTGTTATGAAGAATGTTTATGACGTTGGGTCACTGCGAGATTGACCGTGACAGAATTTTCACGGCCAATTATTACGGACGGGCTGACTCAATAGAAGTGCTTCAATCTCCGGAAAGGAGGTCGAGGTGACTTTGGTGGTGTTGACTGAACGGAACGTCGTTACCCACTCAGCATGTCCAACTGCGACCCATGTGGATCCGAGATGGACAGCCGCATAGGGCCAATCTGGGCTACCCACTTCGATCCCATGTGGGCATGCCATGGGCAACCGCTTGGGTCCCCCATGGGAATCCCTCCTTGGGCCCATATGGAGCCAAGCTGGAATTCACATGGTGCCCACCTGGGTGCCCAGTTGGGACCCACGTGGGCATCTCCAACTGCGCCCCACATGGGCAGGCCACCTGAGCCCATAGGGGACCAAACTGGAACCCACACGGCGCCCACCTAGACTGCCCAGTTGGTACTCAAGCGGGCATGTTCAGCTGGGGTCTACATGGTTCATGGGTGTAGGAACGGGGGCGGGGGGCCCATGCATCCCACTTTTCAAGGTGAGGGGCCAGCAGTGTTAACTGCTCTCCCCTCCTCGACTTCCCGAATTAAGGTTGTGTTCACCTTTCTTTTGCGCTGCATTTTTATACATACCGATTTATCTAGTTCACCAGCCATCTTCCTCAAGATGCGCCATTTTTTTCGTTTGCTCATTGACCATCTTGAAAATTTTAAGACGAACATGGGCAACACGGCAGCCATGTAAAAGCAAGTTTGGGACCCCATTTCATGCACAATCTACGTCGAGGGAGTTCTCAATATCTCTGAAAGACGCAGAACAATATGGAACTGGAGTCAATGTAACAATTATCGGACCACCTGCAGCGATCAGGAATATTGCGTCAGTGAGGGTTCTTGTGCTGATCCGGGGAAATTATGCGGGTCAGAAGGCCTCCCGGGTCAGGGAGGGGAGCAATGCGATATGACGTATCCTTCTAAGCTTCCCGGATCGACCAGGAGATCCCACCTCGTAGTGTCAAAATGATAGCCATAAGACACTTCGCGATGGGACGGAATGGCCCTTCAGCCCTTGACCGGAAACGGTAACGTGCTCCTAGCGTTCTGCTTAGGGGACCCTTTTGCGTGGAACGAAATAAGGGGTCTCAACATTGTTGAATAAATTGGGGATCTCGTTAATGTTGAATAGAGAGGGTTGAAACGAATAACTGAAGCTTATTTGTTCAGAGTGGATTAGTGACACAAATAACATAAAAAAGTTTGAACGTGCCCGCCCGCAGCTTCGGGAGCAAGGACAGCGATGGTCTGGGCTGCAGTTTCCGTAAAACCGAACGGCGTCGGCCACTAGTGCCACCACATGGCGGGCGTCGTGTTTATTTGTCTTTTGTACAGATTAATAGTACAGGAATATGAAAATTAGAGGTTCTTCCTTTACTCTTCCAGTGCCCTCTCAGATTCCAGCGTCGCTTCACGGTGCTTTAGGAACCAATCCGTTTTCATCATTCCACGTCCACAATAGTACGAAAGCCAATGACGGCGATTGTGGCTGTGACCCGAGCTCTCATTGGTGGGTCGCTGATTTAAACCGAACCAATGTCAGTGACTACCATGGGACAACCCGGGAGGATGTGAGCGTATCTTATGGATGTGACGCTCCGTGTTGTTTGCTGGCGGCGTGCATACCGAGCGCGTCCCTCCTCGGCCTACCTGTTCCTCAACCACGAACCGAAGAATTTACCGAAACCGCCCACAAAGCCAAGTAAGTTCCATGGGCTATTTTGCGCTTGTGATATCGACTTTCGACGATAAACGTCGCAGAGGTCGTCTGTGGCAGGTGCCAGTCTATTTCTAACACGACTGAACGTTAGTCAGCTTTCACCGTACCAAACCATGTATAAATTTTACCTATTCCGCTTTTGTTCAAGGCAGTGCATGTGACTCAGTACGACGACTTTTGATACAAGATAATAGAAATCCCTTTTCAGCGGCCATCAAGCGAAATACAGCCTGCCATTATGCCTCCCGAAAGAAGCGGAGAGGGCACTAGGAAAATGGTTTACCGACGGAAGGGACCGAGACGGCGCAGACAACGTCGCACCAGCAAGGACAACACCAGCAGCGCAGATGACATTGTTTATAGATTTAGTAGTAATGACGCCGGGGAGTGGGTAAAGTTACAACTGCACTTTGTGAATTACGGTGTCGATGCCAAAGCAGTTTCGTACAAATACATACATAAATACCAATGAAATGACGGGGTTTGTCACTGATGATGCAGAACAGTCCGCCTGGAATAAAGGTGATTCAATTCATAAGGTGGGATTCACATGGGCAGGTCACATGTGCCCAAGTGGGACCCATCTGGACTGGCTCATGCGGATCCCAACTGAGTTACCCAGGTGGGTCTCAACTGGGTTGCCCAAGTGGGTCCCAACTGGGTTACCCAGTTGGGTCGCATCTAGGCTGCCCAGGTGGATCCCATGTTTATCCCAGCTAAGTCCCACAGGGGCCCCACATGGGCTTCCATGTGGAAACCAGTTGGGTGCCCATGACATGCCCGCTTGGGCCCGAGGTAGCAAGCCCAGGTGTGCCCTATTCCTTTATACATCTCGGATCCACATGGGTCCCGGTTGTAAACGTTAGATGGGCCCTATGTGTGCCCCAGTTAGGTCCACATGGGCCCAACAAGGATCACCCTTATGGGATCCAGGTGTCCGAAAATGTCACGCCCACATGGGACCAACGTGGACAGCCCAGGTGGGGCCCCATACGACTGTCCAACTGGGACCCATATGGGTTCCAATCGGACATGCTGGCTGGGTATTCACCTCTGTGGTTGTTAGATTAATGACAACAATGTATTGGTCTAAACAGCACCACGAAGTGGTGCTGGCATCTGGTGGTGGAACTGGAATAGTAAAGGTAAAATCCCTGTTTCGGTGTTGTTGCTGTTTATCTTTCCAGAGAACAGCCTCAAAGTTGAAAAAGACTCACCCAGTGTACTCTTAAAGCTTTACAAATATGCAAACCAAATCTAAAAGACACTCAGTAACACTATTTTGCGATGGTCATTGTTGCGCGCACGGCGCCCGACCCCTGGTGTTACTTGTAGAGGCCAACGTTGTTCGGTTTTACGTGGCCTGCAACCCAAGCCATCGCTATCCGTGCTCCCCGGGACTCCGGGCGCGTTATTGGGGCTTTCTGACGCCTTCATCTGCTGGAGCTATATGGCGTCGCCACCCTCTCAACCTGGCGGGAGAGGCTGACACCGCGGAGAATCGAACCCCGTACTTGCGATTTCCCAGACGCACGATGGCTAACGCAGGTGCGTCAACCACTGTGCTGTCGGCACCTGGCACACAGGCTCGGACTTTTGATGTTATTTGTTTCACTCGTCGATTCTGCAGCGTAATGAACATTCTCAGGGAAACATGGGATGGCCGCGTGCGTTTTGAGCTAATTTCGACCCACTCCATTCAACACTAATGAGACCCCTTATTTCTTTCCGGTAAATGGGCCCTCTTGAGCACAACACTACCGAGCACATTGTTGTTCACGGTCAAGGGCTGAATGGCCCTTCTATCCCACCGCGGTGTGTTTCCGGCCGACATTCTGGCGACACGGGGCGGTAACCCCTGGCCGGTCTGGAAGTCCTTAGAGGGATACATCGTATCACGTTGGTCCGCTTCCTGAAGCGAGAGGCCCTCTGACCCGCGCAGTTGACCACGGATCGACACATGAACCGTCATCGACACGACAACATCCCTGCTCGCCGCAGATGGTCAAATAATTGGCACATACACTGCAGTTGGGCTTAACGGCACCATGCTGGAATAGGGTTGGAGGGTCCACCGTTCGGCACTGGGTGCCCTGACTGGCACAGGACTCTTCCATTGCCTCAATGTGAGTATCCATGATAAGTTTTATGTTTTTTCTTTCAATTGTCAGAGGAATCCGACCAACGCAAGAGAGTCTCTGTCATTCGGGCTCCCGTCCCCGTCCCTGTTCAGCAAATCTTCCTCTGACCGACTGGCGGCCCCTTGTCGACATAGAGTGCCCTGTTAGTCATTGCAGGCCCCTGAACGATGCAGGAGCCCGACCAATGTAAAGCACGGGGCCGGCCTTATCACCGCTTTTGAAATGGCCCCCCAGAGCTCAGACCAACACAAAGCCAACAGTTCGCTTCCCGTGGTCTCTGGCCGAAATAGAGAAACGCTCCATTTCAGGGTTCCTATCGGTGCAGGAGATCATAGTTGTATGGCTTCGTGGCGGCCAGAGCTACCGGCCTGCCCCTAGCGGCCGGGCCAAGAACTAATCATGCAGGCGTCTGCCCCCATTATCGTGATGGCGGGGCGCGCTGGTATGAATAAAATAATAAGTATTTGAGCTATTCCCGTAAGGCCTTTCGTAATTAGAAAATTGTGAAGTGCTCAAAGCATGCAGGTCAGCATGCTTAATAAAGAACAACAAATCACTTTGAGCTGACATTCGACGTGAATGTGCAAATTGGCCGTCAATTCCCCCGTTCAGAGAAAAAAGCAATGATCGGGTCTAGGGGAACGTCATTGATTGATTACAAATTCACTTTTTCTACCCAAGCTACTGAAGCTTATTCATGTGCGCAGCTTGCTTAAGATTCAGCATGGAAATGGCTTTTAGCTAACATGTTTCATATTATCCTGGCAGTTATGGTGCCCATGCGAATTTCAGCTAAATGCGGCATGGCGTACGAATGCCAATGCAACCATACTAACTAAATAACACATAGATAAAAAATGTGGCATGACGGATATGGCCGCGGCCACACCAACTTTGTGGGCCTGATAATGCTATTTATTTTAATATCTATTTAAAAGGACAGGAACTAACAGCCTGCCGCCCGAACTATTTCGGTTAAATCTCCACCCGTGACCGCACAAACTATATCCCCATTGTTGAATATTATTTAAGCCGGCGATCCCTATTCCTATTCAAATAACTTACTGATTTGAATTTAGCGCATTCACAAGCGACTGTTTGGGTAACTCCTCATTATGGTTGGAATTCAGACTGAAAGTCAGGCAAGTGTTGCAACTAACTGACTATATATGAGTGTTGGTACATCCTTTACATGCAATGTCCATGTGCTGAATGTTAAAAACTGAAAACCTAGTCGAACTAGTCCCTTCCTGCTGCGGAATCCCTGTCAGGTACTACCCCTATTCCAGCACTGCTATTGCGAAGTTCTATTATGCAGTCCTTTTAATATCATTTAAGTGCTTAAAAATACAATATTCGCCACAACGAATGCATGTATTGCGAGCAGCTCCACGCACGCCCTATGCACATCGCCAATGCACCAGGCACATCGCCAGTCAGTGTGTATCCACAAGCGCAGCAGACGCCTACCCCCCTTCAGTAGCAGGTGTCTTGAGCCCTGACGCAAGTTGGTGCATGAGAAGAAAGAAGTTGTGACATGATGGTTCAACTCCTCGACAGCTTGCCGGTGAAACACGCCGAGAACACCGTGACGGCGGATCATGTCAGGCACATGAAAGACCATCATGTGCAGGTTTGGTGTCACCATACTGGACTGATACAGTGCACAGAAGATTTTCAAAAAGGTCTGACATTCTTCAGCGACTTCGTCGGCATTTTCGCTTTCTTTCACGAGTGTCATTACTTTTGACAATTTCGCGTACATATTTTGGAGCATCGAAACGCGTTTGCTGCCTTTCGGCATCATAACAGATAACAAATTTTCATTGACGATTGCCTGAATAAGGCGAGCTCTGTCCCGACTCTGTAGACTGGAAAACTGCAGAGTTCTCTGGTCAGTGTTGACCAGGTATCCTCTGAGTCCCAAGTCATGCAGAACCGAGTAGAGCAGAACGCAGGACTTATCACTGTCTGGCACCTCTTGCTCCACTAGTCTACCAAACAACAGATCACTTATTCTAAAATACATGTGCAGCACGTCTAAAACAACATCATCGGGTGAAAAACACGGCAACAAATTTTGACATTTTGTGCCCAGGCCACCACACCGTATGTCGCTGCGAGGAGTATCGCCACCCTTAAACAGGTCTTTCTTTTTATATAACCAGTATATACAGGCGAACGAGGAAGATGCAGCGTTCATACTCTGGGAAATGAGGATAAATTTGTAGTCTGAGCAGAATATCACTCTGACTTTGACGGTTGATCCCTGAACCTGAATCGGCTTGCTATCGAAACCACGAATTTCTTCTTCGAAACTGGTCAAAATGTATTTGACGTTGTCATACCGCTCAGACTCCTCTACCACACCAACCATGTGGGGTCCTTTAACATTTGAATCAGTTTCATCAACAAATGTGATGGTGAAGTTGGTAAAGGTACGGAATTTCCCAACGTTTGCCCCATCTGCCGAAAATTTTACCCGTATAGTGCCATCCTTGCAAATGGTTGCACCAACCTCTCTCATGACAGATGCCATACTACGAAATGATCCATTTGCTGATGACTGGATATGCTGACTAACTGCTTCATTTTGAATTCGTCTCTCTCTTAGGACGCTGTACAGGGAGGGCGTGCCAGGAAAACTTTTTCGAAGCCGGTTATATTTTCTGAGCAATATGTTGCTCTCATCCAAAGCTTCTGAAACGGTGCTGGCCGATGGTGTGCTACTGTCATCCAAAGAACCAAAGTGTACAGCTAACCCGTAACGAAAAACATCGAAGCATTTTTTGTTTGTTTAATTCGTCTCAAAGTTCGTCCCGAAGTCCCCCTTGCCCTGTCTCTTGCACGATCTCTTGATGCACGTAGTTTTGATTCAAGCAGTGACGCCTCTGCGCGCACTCTGTCGTATTCAGGTTTCGAAACGACCTCCACAATTCGGGCATCAACTTCAACTCGCCATTCGAAGAACTCCGAGTCAAACTCATGTTTTAGTCTATCTAGAGACCACCTACCCCGGCATGACTTTTTTGAACACAGGGTTCTCGCACATGACTTCCGCAAGGCACTGACTTGCTCGTGGAAATGGGGCATCGCAGTGAGTGTATCTCAACTTCCTTAACTAGCGCTAGTGCTGTGCCTGCGGCACAACAGTAATTATCCTCATACAGTTTCAAAAGACAGGCTTTCCTAACATGTAAACGCGAATTTTTGACAACCAAGTTTTCAGACAGTTTTATTTGATTCATAGTGTTGAAAAATGAGGGTTTCAAGATCAACTGCGAACCCACTAATCCACCCACACCACCTAGCAACGCTGTCCGTACAACTTTATAAACAGGTAAAGCTGCACAGCTGCCTTTTTACGCAGTGTGCCGTCTGCGGACCGCACCCAGTACGGCTCACGGCGGCGGCGGCGGCCGATCTGCACCGCGGCATCGCGGCTCTGCAGCTCGTTGGCGTCACCGTGCTCATTCACAACACGGATCCGCCACTGGTCGCAGACGGGGGTAGCCGCCAGGCCGATATCTGCGAGCGTTCTGCCCTTGAAATAGCCGGCGTCTGCCGTCCGGATGTCTTGGCGTATGGTGCAGGCGCGCTGCCCTCGCTTGGCGTACTTTAACAGCTGACGCACCTGAGAACATGTTTTGCTCAGATCAGCGTGTGGGTTTCACCCATCGCATGTTTAGCATGTCTAGACGTGTCCCGGCCAAGTCGGAGCTGGATCAATGGGCTCAAAGAGGATGAACGTTTTTATAGAATATACCCCATCTCAGCCCTTCAGTTTTAAACAAAAACATCCTGGCGATTCGATACAACTGAAAACAGAACTCCAAGAAATGTGATTGATTTTTTATTTAAAAAATACGTCGCTCCAAACAGTATCTGGGCAGAAAGATAACTTCAAATTAAGGTACCATTCAAAAAAGAGGATGAGCGTTTTTATAGAGTATACCCCATCTCAGCCCTTCAGTTTTAAACAAAAACATCCTGGCGATTCGATACAACTGAAAACAGAACTCCAAGAACTGTGATTGATTTTTTATTTAAAAAATACGTCGCTCCAAAACAGCATCTGGGCAGAAAGATAACTTCAAATTAAGGTGCCATTCAAATTACTTTCAAAGGAAGTGGCCAAACTATTAATTGTGCCCCAAGAGTTTGAGCATTTGGTTTGTTTTTTACACATTGATTGACACGAGTTCCTTTGCGGATTATATCTGGCATGCGTCCAACTACTTTGGGCTATAAGGCTACCGAAAACAGTATGGCCAAATTCATGATCCTGGTTTCAAATGGATACATAACCACCCAAATATATGCATCACATTCTTAAAAAAACCTACATCACCCAGCATTTATCCACAAACTTCATTGAAAATGATGTTTTTATGACTGGAAACAATGTAATTATGAGGTAACATATTTTGACAGTTTGATCTTTCACGTACGTTTTACTCTACTAAATGTGTGCAATTTAGCACCAATAACAGATACAACAGATAAATGTGTTTTTACATCATGCTTATATAAAATAGCGATTGCCTTTCTCAGAAGATGAAACATCTACATCACTTCACTCACTTTTTCTGCATCTGACAACCAACCCAAAATAGATTTAGCCACACTGGCCCACGATTCTGGCAATTTTTTGGGGTGCATAACTTTAACATTATTGATTCCGATGTAACTGATACAAACTGAATGCATACCATGCTTGCTTTCAGTCACAATCTGCACATTAATGCAAAACTGAAGGCAGGTCAGATCAAGTTAAACTAGGTAAGAACTTCAGATTAATTTAAACTAGGTAAGAATAGGCTAGGATGATTCCAAAGAGCTACCCGAGCATAGACGTTATCAGTCACAAGCTCAACACCTGCAGGCCGGGCTGACCTCGGACGTCCATAGAAGGTTAAGGGATCCATCAACCCAAAAGAACATGTTAGTATAAATGTGTCACACATACTCATTGCACAGTAACAAATAAACAAAACATACCAGTTTTGGATAAAACAGCTGTAGGCATGCCATTGCATTTGTTTACATTTGTTCAGTAGTACTGACATTTGAGATCACCGCCCAATGGGCATGGGTCTTTAACGTAATCTACAGCCGGCCCTTCGGAACCTTCAGCTATCCATTGAGCCCTTGATCTTTGGTCTCAAGAGCTCATTCAGCACCTCTCCGGACCACCCAACCACCGCTCCGACACGGGGCCGCTTGCCCTGTTGGGCCACAGGACCCTGTTAGGCACTGCGGCCTCAAATCGACATAGGAGTCCCTCACTGTGTCAGGGACCCCAAACATTGCAAATCGCGGGCCCCGGCCCCGTTTCTGCCTGAGAAATGGGTCTCAAGGGCTCAGGCGGCCATGAAGCCGACTGTTCGGTGTTTGTGGTCTCTGACCGACTTACACACCTGCATTTCCCAGGGGTTCCTGATACGGGGCAAGAGAACTTCTGACTGATATTTCAGGTCGCTATCCCTAGGGCCCTCGATTCTTTATGTGACCTACAGCCATTCCTTCGGGCCATTATGTCTTCTGATCGTTGCTTCAAGTGTTCCGTCTGGGCCCCTCCTCAGTCCTCATTCAATGCTTCCATTGTTCGGCTCGGGGCTCGTGCAGGCAAAGGGCCCTCTGTTAGGCACTGTGGTCCTGTGACAGTTACCAATCCTCCAACCATTGTTGATCGCTGGGCCCGGCTTTATAGCTGATTGAGAAGTATGCGCTCAGACCCATACCGCCAACTAACTTGAAATTTTCTCAGTTGCATGGTTTTGAAGTTGTTTTAAAAAAACCTTCACAAGCCGCGCTAAAATATTACAATTGTTGTACAAACCGTTGACACGCAGATAAACAGTTGCCGTTTCATACAAACACCAAATGGACCACACCCTTTCATTTTAAAATAAATAGCATTCTAAAAATTTCAAATTTTTCGAAAAAAGGTCACGCTCAAAGTTGTTTCCAATCACCCGCTAATCAAGAGTGCAGTCAACAACTTGAGATGTCATCTTACATCGTTTGCCAGCAAAAGCAGCCTTCTATTTTCATTGGTCCCAAAGATATGAGCTTGGAACGTTTTACTACACAAAAATCAGCCGTTTTCAAATCCTGCCAATGTGTTCCGTTACACGTGTTTTGGCGCAGAATTGCCTTCCCATGCTATGGTGTGACATAGCCTCTCCAATGCTGATAGGTTTTCAGTTAGGTACAAGCAACACGGAGTAATGTCTAAAAATGGCCATTTCGTGTAACACGCGCAAACAGTGGCAGAGCATGCATTCGCTCAGAACACAAACGCAATCTATCACTGGCCCTCATTTGAGCGGAAAAAACATCCGTTCAAGAATTTTGACTTTTTTGCAGCAAAGTTGCCGTGGTGAACTTTGTGTCCCCTTGAATGTTGACAACAACGACAATGAATGTGTGCTCCATCACTGTGTATCGTTTGAACATCCAATCCGCTTTCGAACGGAGCTGGTTTCAGAAAAAATACATGGAAATTGGCACGCATCAAGAAAGGTCCATTTCTCAAATGATGGAATCTCGCTTCACTATATGTCATTAGACGCGAAATCGCACGGCAAATGCGATGGTGTCACTTGGAAATTTCTCACTTGTACAGTTTTGAAATTATTTTGTTTAAACTTTCCTATGCCGCGCTAAATTATTGTAATTGCTAGAACCTGTTTAAATGCACGAATACACTTGCCGTTTCATACACACATTAAATGGACCACATCCTTTCATTTTATACCAAAAATTCGCATTTCTAAAATGTTTATTCTTCGAACAAACTGGTCATGCTAAAATTTGTTTCTCATCACCCGGTGATCAAAATTGTAGTCAACAACTTGCAACATCTTTTTACATCGTTTGCAAGTAAAAGTAGCCTTCATTTTTATTGGTTTGAGAGATCTGAGGCTGGAACATTTTACAACCAAAAAATGGACGGTTTTCAAATCCTGCCAATGTGTTGCGTTACGCATGTTTTGACGCAGAATGGCCTTCCCATGCTATGGTGTAACATAAACTGCCCAATGCTGATAGCTTTTCAGTTAAGTACAATCAACGTGGAATCATGTCAAAAATTGTAATTTCGTGTAAAACGCGCACACCGGGAAAAAACATGCACGCGCTTCGTACACCCTTCAATTTACTGTTGGTTTCAGTTTGTCAACATTCGTTCCAGAATTTTGAATTTGTCCGCAGCGAAGTGGTCGTGGTAAAATTTTGTGTTCACTTCCACGTTGACAACAACTGCAAATAATGTTTGTTCCATCATGGTGTATCGTTTGCACAAGCAATCTGCTTTCGAACACAAAACCAAAACTACGAGGAGTAAAGGAACCAAACCCTTTCATTTCATACCAAAAATCGCGTCTTCAAACTTCGCATTTTTTAACAAAATGACCCCGCCCAAATTTCTTTCTCATCACCAGGTGATCAAGATTTCAGTCAACAACTTGTAAGATCGTTTTAAATCGTTTGCAGGCAGAAATAGCCTTTATTTTCATTGGTTCGAGAGATATGAGGTTGGAACGTTTTACTACCCAAAAATGGGCCGTTGTAAATTCCTGTAAATGTGTTGCGTCACACGTGTTTTGCCGCAAAATTCCTTTTCCATGCTCTGGTGTGACAAATGCTCTCCAATGCTGCAAAGTTTAGAGTTAGGTACAACCAACGTGAAATCAGGTCGAAAATGGTCATTTGGTGTAAAACGCTTAACCCGGAATAGAAGATCCATCCGATTCGCGCACACGCTCAATTTACCATCGGCCCTCATTTGAAACGAAAAAAACATCCTTTTCAGAATGTTCCTTTTTCGCAACCAAGTGGCCATAATGAGATTTGTATCCACGTGCATGTTGACCACAACGGCAATAAATGTTTCTTCCATCATTCTGTATCACTTGCGCCTGCAATCTGCTTTTGAACCAAGCTGGTTTCAGGAACAAAGCAACGGAAACTTGCGCGCATCAATAATGGTTCAATTTTCAAGTGGTGGGATCTCAATGTGTTGTTTGTCATCAGAGGCCTAATCACACGGCGAATACGTTGATGTAACTCGAAATTTTCTTACGTAATAGCTTTGAAGACATTTGGAAAGCCTTCACAAGCCGCGCTAAAATTTTTCTGTTGCTATTGAAATTGATTACATGCACAGAAACACTTGGCGCTTCATACACACAATAAATGGACCACACCATTCCATTTTGCAAATGAAGATCGCATTTACAAGTAGTCCAATTTTTGCCAACAAAATGGTCACACGCAAATTTTTCTGTCATCACCCGATGATCAAGAGTGTAGTCAAAAACTTGTTACATTGTTTTACATCGTTTGCAAATAAAAGCAGCCTTCTGTTTTCATTAGTTTCAGAGATATGTGCTTTAAACGTTTAACTATCCAAAAATCAGCCGTTTTCAAATCATTCCAATGTCTTGCGTTGCACGTGTTTTCACACCGAATTGCCTTCCCATGCCACGGTGTGACATAATCTTTCAAATGCGGACAGGTTTCCATTTACGTACGACAAACGCAGAGTCATGTTGAAAAACGACCAGTTCGTGTAAAACGCGTAAACCGGGACAAAACATTCATCCGCTCCGTACACACGCTCAATTT